ATAAACTTAATTATAATAGAAAAAGAAAGAGGAATAGATTAACCTTATTAATTTATAAATAAAATATTAGTCTAGTTATATATAGATCTACTATTAATTAAATATTTGAAAGTAGTTTTTTATTAGTTATAGATAGTAAATATAAGTAAATTGTTTCTAGTAATATTAAAAGAAAGTAGTTTCTTAAAGAGTCTATATAAGAAAAAGTTTTTGAGTTTTGGCTAAAGGCAAACCTTAATTATAGCTAAGAAAGCTTTAGTTTTATATAGTATAAGCGGCTCTAGAGTATCTTTATATATTTATTAATTAGCCTATACTAAATTATTTTCTAATTAAGCTAATACTAGAGATAATTCTAGTTTCTTGAATAAGAAGCTTTCTTAGGTAATTATAAGGTTTTAGAATAAGAGAAAGAGTAATAGTTTTTGCTTCTATATATAAAGCAGGCTCGATTTACCAAGTATTAAGTTTTAAAGAGTTTAAGGTTCTTTTTTTTATTAAATATAGAGGAAATAATATAATTGAGTTATTTAACTTTTCTATCTAGCTTTAGCCGAAAAAAAGAAGGTTTAAGATAAGAAATAGAATGAAATCTTATATAAAATAAACTGCTTTTTATTTCAGCTTTTTTAAATACTTAATTAATAAAGTTTATTAGTATCTAATATTCTATTAGGCTATTAATATTTAAATAGTAAATAGATATTTCAAATTTAATCTTTTTATTAAACTCCTTCTTGAATTAATAAAGAATCTTATAATTAAATAGTCGAGAATTAAAATATATAAGATAATCTTTAAATATTATAATACAGCCTTAAATAGAACTGGTTTATTAAACTTTCTTATAGTATTATTATCTTTTATCTTCTATATTAAGCTCCTGGAATTCCGTATAAATAGTAATAAAGAAACTATTAATAGTAAAGGAAATAGAATTATCTAAAAGAATAATACTTTTTTTTTTAATTATATTTACTATTTTAAAGCTTTTTCTTTAAATATATTTAAGAAAAGAGCTAATACTTGTTTTTCGGAAATCTTAGCTTAAATAAGGGTTTGATATTTATTAAGCTATAAATAGGCTTCTATAATCTAAAAATAGATTATATTATTTATTTAATTTCTATTATATTTGGAATAATCTCCGATTTTTGTTCTAAAATGAAATATATATTTAGCTATAGCTTTTCCGGATTCTATAGAGGCTTTAGAAAGGTTTCTAGGTCTCGAGGTTAAAAGAATAGATACTTCTTTAATAATAGTAGTATTATCCGATTTAAAAGTAGCCGGAATAGTTAAAGTCTAAAAATAAATATCTATAGCCTGAATTAAAGAAATAAACTCTATTTGAACTTAAATAATAAGGTTATTAATAGTTATATTAATATCATTTTATATATTATTTAGAATTTAGATAAGTTTTCGAATATATTTCTATAAATTAGCTATAGTTAAGAAAAGATTTCTAAGTAAACTAGAAATATAAACTATATAATTATTAAATATATTAATAGTACTAAAAAGACCAGTTATATAATTTTATAAAATAGCCAAATTTCTATTAATAGTAGCTTGGTAAGTAATTAAGCTAGAAACCTACTAGGCTATTTTATTTATATAAAATAAATACTCTTATAAGTTTCTAGTAAAGTATTAAAGTAGTTATATAGTATTATTTAGGGGCTTTCCTTTAGTAAAGTAATCTATATTTTAACTAGCTTCTATTATAATAAGATCAGGCCTTTTATTAAAAGATATAGTAATTCGGATATAAAGAGATAAGTAATTTAAAAAGGGAAATAACTAGAGTCTATTAGTCGAGATCTGGATAAGCTTCTCTTTTTATTCTCCTTTCTATAGGTCTCTGGTTTGGTCAAATATAGAAAGCTTATAAGTTTAAGCTAAGAACTAGTTAGGTTTTCTGTAATTTGATTTCTGAAATAGAGGTTTATAACTTCTTTATTCCGGTAGTATTTTTATATAGGGTTTTAGTAGATCCAGTTAATTTCTAGACCTTTCTCTTCCTTATTCGAGGCCCGATATTAGAATAACGGATTTCTCTACTTTATTTTAATAGTCTCGGATAGGCCCAGGCTCGGCCTTATTCTACTAAGCTCTCTATTCTATTCGGATAGTAGAATTCCTCTAGGATTATTATTATAGAGTCTCAATTAGTCTATCTAGTAAATTCGTTTAATAGAATTACTAATCTCTCCTAATATTCGGCTATTACTAGGAATATAAAAACTTGCCCGGTAAGTTCCTACTTTTCCCGAGATTAGCTTATATTAGAAGAGATAGGCCCGGAGAATGGAAGCTAGTCTATAGTTGGTATATTTAATAGTTAGATGCCTCTACTATATAGGTTAGATAAATAGAAGAACCTTAATAAAATCGGCCGAGACTTCCACTCCTTATAGCTTGACCTATAGGAAGGGAATTACTTATCCGACCCTCGAATGACTTTTCCAGAGAGATAGTTATTGGAATATATCCTCGTTTTATTATAATAGGTACTCTAATTTCGGGAGCGGCTTGCTCTGAAGCGAGGGGCGGCCATAGGGAGTATATTAATAATACTTGTTTAATATATCTCTCTGGAAACTCCGGAATAGAATTCTAGTATAAGGCCTTAGATAAAACTGAGCCCTTTTAAGGCATTACTACTATATATAATTGGAAAGGTTAAAAAGGATATAACGTTTCTATTCCTGTATATTTGGGGCCTTTAATAGGCTCGAACGAGCTTACGTAATTCCACATATAATTAGATTATATACAAAAGCATGATCAGAAATTACAGGGCAAGATCTACCAAATCACGTGTCTGAGGTCTCGTTTTCAACCAATTGTATATAATCTGACCTCCTTCCTATATCATTTTCGTCAAATTTTGACGATAATACTCAAGGAGCCCAGAAAATTTCCCTTATATATATATAATAAAGACAAGTCTTTGTATACTTATTATATAATCAAAGTTTTGATAGTATATAATAAAGATCAGGACTAGAGGGTTTAGTACTTTAAATATTACAAAAAACTAGTTGTTTGTAATACGTTAGTCCTTTTTAGTACGTTGATAAGTTTTTGTTCTATTCTTACAGTGCTATATTAAATCTAGAAATTGTGCTTTATAAAATAGCAAAGCAGATCTAGGATCAGATTAATCTTTGGTTCCAAATTCTTAATGTGTTTGTGCTAGGCAAGGACTCTGTCGCGATTTTGATTAGAAACCAAATTATTCCACCTTATAAGAAAACCTCAGATTTGGGCGAAAAATTACGACAAAAAGTCTTGCCCTTGGGGACCAGCCACTTACTCTCGAGCTTCTCATGTCTTTACAGCGCTTCAGACATGTAATTAGGGAGACTTTGCTTCTCACAAGCCCTAAAAGTCGTGCGATGCGAATTACTGTTCGTGACACCATCGTTCCTTCCAGTGGCGGCCAAATGGAGCCTCTCAGTTTTTCGTGGAGAAGGGTACAGTACATTCACTGAGCGTGTACGGAAAGAACTACGATAAGGACATTTGAGGAGACGATATATACAATGTCGATCCAGATCACTGGATTGACAAACGACCAATGTGGGATTTCTCTCCTCTTTATGGAGGGTTAAGGATATATCCTGTGCAGCAGCAAGTCCGCACCTAAGCAGTTTATTTTCTAGTCAGATTAACAAGAGAGTTTCCTAGGATAGAGAATAGAGATCCTGTGGAGGAGTTTAAGGAAACACTCGGGATGACTATTAAACAGAGAGGTCGGATGGGGTCAAAGTTGCTTTTTATACTTGAGTAGTGGTTGGAGGCGGGGAACCATCGATGCCATTCGCAATTAGGCCCTACTTTTCGTACATATCTAGTCTTCTCATACATTTACTGCATGATAATAAAATCTAGATGATTTCCAGATAATGTCTGTAGCAATCTCAAAGTTAACAATCTATCTCCAACGAATACTAATGAATAAAATAGGGGAGCTAAGCGAGGCGTAATTTAACGAGGCGATAGTTGAGAATGTGCACAAGGCGCTCTTGAGTTGGGATTGAGATGAAAATATGAGGTCGGTGCATACCCGGAAGCTGATATGTGAGATAATGAGACGTGAAAGTCTTCTCAAAATGACTTGGCGAATAATCTTCGTCAAATTGGCGAATAAGTGATGTGGCAGAATGGTGAGCGGAAGCGAAGGCGGGCGCCACTACGCACGATGTTCCGACAAATTCGACATTGGCTAATAAATTGCTCTACTGGCCAACAATTTTAGTTTGACCAATACAGCAGGATACTCACCAAAGGTGCAAATTTCCATTGTCACATAATATTCGCTCGTTTCAAAAAGTATATAAGAACTGAATTTTCTGAGCCTAAGGGGCTATTTTCAGGGCAAAAAATAAGCATTCTATCTCAGGGAGTTCACCAGTAAAGATGGTAGATACAGCTGGAAGTCCAGCTAGACCCCCCCCTCTCCCCCCTTCCCCCTTCCCCCCCTTTTTTTCTAAGGATATGCTCTCTCACTAGTAATGACCGCGCAGCTAATTCTAGTAGGAACACACCAGAAAGCACTGATTATGCTGCAAGTGGATTGACTCGCCAAGCATGATTCACTCCAGGGGCTGATTAGGGGGTGGCGTTAGGCCTGAAACTACCCCTTTTATGGGATCACCTATCAGCCATTAATACGGCTAACATATGAAATTAATTATATCTTCAGCTTTGGCGAAACACCTGGCTCATTGGCTAAATGCGATTTATTGACCAAAAAGCTTCGATATTGGCCAAATTGGCCGTTGTATTGACCAATACCGAATGGATCCGAACAGCGAGGCTTTCCGCCCAGCTCTGCTCAGCCACCACCACCTTTTACGCTTGACAACAAACCCCGAGCCTCATCAGGCAACAGCGCACCTTGAACTTTGAATCCAGCCTTGTGTAATCAATTCCTCCATCGTGTCTTCTTTCTCTCTACACCCAGGCAATCTATAACACTTCCAATCATGGATCCACTGACGGCTCTGTCCGTGGCTGAGACAATTGTCCAGTTCGCCGATTTTGGCAGTAAAATGTTCTCCGAGGGCTGCCAGATGTACAAGTCCGCCAATGGAGCAGTAACAGCGAACGAAGAGCTGGAGCTTGTTATTTTCGACCTACGCGCGCTCACCAAGAAATTACCAAAACTTTTCCACGGGCAATTAGTCACCAGCACACCACTTAATGACATGTCCGATCAACTAGACGTCGTCGACAAGATTTGTGAAGAAGCTGCCAGATTAGCAGAGGAGATTCTGCGATGTCTCGATGGGCTGAAGGTCGAAGGTCAAAAGCGTCGCATGTGGAAGAGTTTTAGTCAGGCAATAAAGTGTGCATGGACTAAGGAGGAGATCGCTGCCATGGTAAAACGACTTGCAGCCTTCAAAGATGCTCTGGTAGCAAGGGTTACTTACTCGATCTGGTAAGTTGATCAAATTCTTACATCTTGATCCTTTTTTTATATTTTTATTTTATTTTTTCGGCTCAACTCTTTATCCAGGTCGGATCTCAATGCACAATCAATCTGTACATCATCAGCGTTCGACCATCTCAACCAGCAGACACGGCATATCATTATCAAACTAGTCGAAAACAGCGCCAGGTTGAGTGACACTGATGGAGAGATTAAAGCAGTCCGTGATCAACTCACATCTCTAGCACTTGGCCTGGCTCGAGTTGATGCTAATATCACGAATGAGCATCGCAAAGATCGGATGATGTTTTTAGAATATGGATGTCGTTCTGGGTACGGGGGTCTCAAAGATGTTGAGGCAACTGTCGAACTCTTGGGCGTTTCTCAAACGGAAGAAGATAGGGTACGAAAGAAAACGAATATGGCCCTCCTGGAAGATCTCAGCTATCCATCCATGTCGCATCGGTACGAGGCTGTCCTCGAAGCCTATCCGGAGACATTCGAGTGGGCTTTTCAGGGGTCAATGAGTGGTCAAGTATTGCGCAATAATCTCTCTGATTGGGTGAAAGCCGGCACTGGTGTGTTTTGGATTTATGGAAAAGCTGGTTCAGGCAAGTCGACTTTGATGAAGCATCTATTCGAGGATCCACGAACACTTCAAAAACTCCAAGCATGGGCAGAGGCTACAGATTCCACATCTCATCATGTAGAGTTGCCACCACTTTGCGTGGCCTCATTTTTCTTCTGGAACACGGGTTCCTTGGAGCAACGATCGCAGACAGGACTGCTTCGATGTCTTTTACATCAAGTTCTGTCAAAATTCCAAGATCTGATCCCGATTGCCTTTCCTGAGCAATACGCCCGAGCATACTCACAGTCAGTGGCCAAAGAGTCTAATGCTTCGACCATATACTTCTCTCTACGTCAACTGATGACGGCGTTCGAAGAAACCATTGGACAAAGTTTGATACCATTTAAACTTTGTCTACTGATCGATGGGCTCGATGAATTTGATGGGGATCATGAAGAGTTGGCCAGACTGTTCAGGCTTGTGGCACAATCATCAAATTTGAAGATTTGTCTATCCAGCAGGCCGTGGCAGGTTTTCCAGGATGGTTTCGGCAGTTTTCCAAATTTGCGCTTGCAAGACTTGACATATCTGGATATATACAAGTACATCAAAGGCAAATTTGAGCAGAGCGAGGCATTCCAGAGGCTTTCAAAAAAAGACATTGCGTCGGAATCACTGGTTCAAGAGATTCTCGAGAAGGCAGCTGGAGTATTCTTGTGGGTTCGAATTGTGGTAAAATCACTGATACGAGGAATCAACAACCACGATGATATCGCCATTCTACAACAGAGGTTGCATCTCCTCCCGAGCGAATTGAAACCCCTTTATGACCATATACTCAACAACCATATCGAACCAGTATACAAGCCATGGGCGTCAAGAGCATTTCAGATACTTAAGACGTCTCGAGAGGTTCTTGACCATGATCGAAAATTAATTTATAGCTCCACTGATAAATATTTGTCCATCTTGCAGTTTATATTCGCGATGGATCAACATCTCGACATTGAGGCTGTCAGCCACCTCGACCAGAAGTCTGTTATGAGCAGGTGTGAGGAGATTGCGATTCAGCTGAATGTGCGCTGCTCAGGCTTGCTTGAAATCTCAAATGAATCAAAGTTCAGAACACCAGAGGGCCGTGTGGCATATATGCACAGAACTGTTGGAGACTTCCTTGAAAGCAACGAATGTTGGTCTCAGCAACTAGCTTATACGGTCAATTCCGCTTTCGATAGCAAAGTCGCCCTAATGAAGAGCTTAGTCTTATGGACGGCATACGATTGTTCTCATGACTACGAACACAATATCTATTACGGACCAGTCAGAGAACAAAAGCCAAGTGCTACTATTAAGTCGTCTATGACAATGCTTTATGCTTACTATGCAAACATGCATACTGAGTCGCAGGAATTGCAAATAGCACTACTTGATGATTTTGATCGATTAAGGAGACAACACCACACCTTGGTTCCTGAGGAGGCTTTCCTTTATCTAGCGGTGCGCTACAGCCTCACTCTATACCTGAAAACGAAGCTTCAAAAGATGGAACCCAGTGTTTCCAGAGACACTGCAAATTCCTTGTCGAATATTTTTGCATTATCAAAGAAGCGGCCCCAGGGTTTGCCACCTTTAAGGGACGATGTCGAGATGTTACTCTCACAATATCGCAAAAATCAAGACGGGCATTTTAATTCCTCGAAATGCAAGTTCGTGGCCGAGGAAATACCAGAGGCTACAGCGAAGCCAGAAGACGTGGAAATATCAGCAGTGTCCATCCAGCATAGCCGACTACCTCAACGTGCGAAACGCCGTTCTCGCTCCACGCCAGGCTAAGAGATCGATGGCAAAGTTCTTGACGTGAGCATCTTCCTCTTTCCCGAGAGGTTGAGAGCAGAGAGTACGACTCGATTTCAAGAAGCTATCTCCGACTTACCGCTCCGACTTACCTTTTCTTGACTTAAATTCTTAAACCAATACGTAATAACCTTCTTGTGCTCTTCTGGTTCAAGGAAGTTCTCATAGTTTCGTTACGGGAGAAATGGACTTGGTTTCACCGCACTGCATCATGACCAAAGCGGATGGGATCTGCGAGCTCAAAATCGTAGGACTCACACTCGTGACAGTGGCCAACAGTGTCCTCAGACCCGGGATAGTTGGGAACATTGTAGTAGTAATTACCTGAGGCAATCTCTGGCTTCTAGTCGATTTGGGCTTCCGTCTCGTTGCCATCGAAATTGATAGAGACTTTCATAATGACGCCGATCACGATCAGTTTTGATAGCTGTAAAGATGTGGAGAATATCACAAGTTGTGGTCCCTGTCAAGGGAAATCAGGAGTTTTGGTAGTGTAAATATCACAAGCTGTGATCCCTGGCATGCGTAAACGAGGCCGAAGTCTCAAGGACAGCTCACCGAATTCAATAGGGGGACTAGTGGGTGGGACAATCTTGACAGGCGCAGTAGCCATCCAGATGATCAAATATATGCAGCGAAAGAGGATCTGTAGACAAATAAGAATTTACAGATGTTAGACAGTGAAAAAACGTCCAGTGACGTGGCGCAAAGGAACCAGTAACTATAAGCTTATGTGGTAGAATAAAAGCTCGAGGGCATTGAAGTAAATGAAATGCCAACTCGTATGTCATGTCAAAACAGTAGTGAAATGTTCTTGTACAAATAACACAACAATCTCAGCAACTGCAGTGAACGGAGATTGATTGACGTCAGGCTCACTTCTTCGGGCCGCGTAGTAAAAATACCAGTTATTTTTGAGAAGGGCAAATAAAAAGCTTATAATCTTCTATATTTGCGATCGATTTATCTCGAATTTGAATTTGAAGTGATCATCTTTGATATTTAATTAATTATTAAGATTTGAAGTGGGTAGGTGATTTGGTCCTAAAAGCGGGAATATAAGCGGGAGCTCGAGTAATGGCCTAAGTGCCTGAGGTAAAGCTAACATTGCAGAGGTAAATTACTCGTCACGTGCTCTTTGACAAGATGGATCCAATATTGCTCCAGCAGGAACTTTGTAATGGAGCAGAAACGAGTCCCCCAGGTGAGGAAACTATAGCCGGGACACATAAGAGGCCAAAATGGGTTCCATATTATAGTGCTCAGGTTCTGCTCAGGTATGCTCACCCTCAGCTCAGGTTAAAGCAGCAGTTGCTCACGTCCGCAGACTAAAACGGAACCAGCCACAGGGAAGATTGATCCTGAGTCTAGGGGTATCGCGTCACATCCATTTTCTTAAACGCCAACCCATCACAATCATCACCCCTGGATCCCACTCCTCACCCTCAAACTTGATACATTTTTCAATGTGTAGCATAAGCCTTCAAAACAGGCTCATTATCCACCTTCGGAGAGTAGGCAAAGATATTCAGCACCGCCAACGGAATCAGTGCTTCCGTCTCTATAACATCACTCAGTGACAACCCCGGCGCGACAATAGCGCCGCACTGTCCGCTTACCCGTGAGAAACTACCAGGACCAGGATGCTGAAGAGCGTCTACTACAAGCGCATACGCGACGGGATTGTAGAGCACACCTTCATGCGTGTATAGCAGTCCTGCTGGCTCCGCTAGACAGGCACCTTGTAGGAAGGTGTTCGAGACGCCGACGTTGCGCGCGTCGTTTAGGAAGCCCGAGGCAGCTGTGCCTTCTTGTGGCTGCACGATTTCGTCTGTGAGGGAGTATACAGTGGTCGTTGGCACGTACGCCGAGTCGCCGCCATTAGAGCGCAGCTTGGTGACGAAATTGCTGTTGTACTGCTGCTGAATGACGGACGGGACACAAGCGATAGCGTTTGCGGTCGTGAAGCCAGGACAGAGGGTGTACGCGAGCACAGTGCCGTGGTAGTCAGGCGAGATGGCAATATGATCTGTGACGATCTTGGGTACGGAGGGCCAGTACTTGAACACCCATTGTGTGTCTAGCGAGCCTTGGGACCAGGTGACGATGGCAGGCTTCTTGGAAGTCATAGCGTAGAGGTATTGCAGGGCGTACGCGACGTACTCGGCGTTTGCTTGGGCGTCGTTGAGAAGGTTTTGTGGGACATTGAGGTACACCGGGTCGGCGAAGGAGGTGCCAGAGAGGAGCTTGCCGATATTGGAGGAAAAGGTTTCGACACCTGTTGCGCCTGTGCCCGGGGACATTAGAACGGGCTGTTTGGCCCCCCACGTGAAACCGGGTGGGATGTAGATTGCTGCTCGTAGAGCAGATTCGGCGATGTCGAAGGGAGCATTGCCGAAGACGGTATTGTAGAAAGTCTTGGAGAAGGGGACGGGTGGGTTGACGTTGGCGGCGGAGTTTGCAGTCTGTTATTTATCAGCCAAGTTCTCTTTCGGACAAACGAAAGGACCATACAATTCCTTGAATCACAGCTTGCAAATCACTTGATGTAAATCCATCCAAAACCAACGTGAGAGCACTCGAAAGAATATCCTATTCCGGCGATGGAGATTGATTCGCAGATGTGATTCCAAAAGCACCAGCGGCTTGGGTCATCGCTTGCTGGATACTCGTCGGAGTGGCGGTCGGCTGAACGGCCTGGAACAGTTTCTGCACAACTGCAGGAACATTGGTCCCAAGAATGGTACCGTTTGCAATGGCCTCTGGAAATTTGTTAGTAGGTTCTCGGAAACTGCCAGAGTGGAGAACTCACCGGTCACAACACCGGCAGAATCGAGGACATTCCCGAGATCAGAAATGATTTCTGGAACTGCAGATGATAGGCTTCCAATGTTGAGAACTCCATTGATTAAACCGCTCACAAGACCCGTGACGGGATCGGCTTCAACACCCTGTGGTAGAGGAAGTGGCTTTGGAGCTGGTGCTGCAACCGGTGCAGGTGCGGGTGCTGGAAGAGCATGCACCAGAGGTGCGGCCGCAGCGAGAAAAGCGTAACACCGCATAGTGATGCGGGTACGTTGGAGGAGTAAAGGAAAAGGGATAGAATACACTGGAGGATTAATTCTACAAGATAATGTACATGAGGAGAGAAAAAGGTATACTTGAGTACGGGACAAGGGAAATATATGCATACTTACAAACACACGACTCGGGACTTTTCTGCAGGAACAGAAATATGCATACTTTCATCATGAGAGGGGATCTCCGGCACAGAAGTTCGGAGGTGATGCGGGGACCCTCGGCAATGAAGCCCTCTGACCACAGAGAATCCCATGTGCGTGCAACTATGTCATGTCCCATGATGGGAACGGCATTTGAGCAGCTCCGTGTGTTATTCCCATTAGCCCTGAGGGTCTAGCGGTTGCTGGTATCCGCTTGCAAGCTAAGCTAATTGAAGGGTCTGAGGTCAAGGCCCTTTTCGTCCGGTCTCGTCGGCAATTGACAGCTGTCTCTACGCAATGCTCCGATCATAAGTGCGCCTCTTCACAACCCTCGATTCAGGGTACCAATGACATCAGGTGTAGCTCCGGAGTTCCATTTGAAATCCACCACTCCCATCACGACTCACAGTCGAGGACGGTGCCGCCAATCATAAATATTTCCGTGCCGGCACTCTTGAGGAAGAGTAAAGAGCGACAAACAGAACGTCATGCCGAAACCGCCGGCCTGTCAAGCTATTCTCGACCCGGTCTATATGATCGACGACTATCGCCAGATCGGGCGGGGTGCCGATTATGCTTATTTTTTAGCCGCATGGAAATCCTTGACGGCAGCTTCGATTGGGAGGAGTGAAGACGACGTCAGATGAAAGTGGTCGAGGGACTTTAGTGATGTTGTGACAAAGATGTGATGAAAAGAGGAGTTGAGGGATGAAAGTTGGAGTCCTGAGATGAAAGGGAAGAATGAAATTGAAGGAGAAATTTCGGCAAGTCGGAACGGATAAACGTTTTGTTCGTGCTAGTGCTGAGAAATACTCAAAATTTGCTTGGGATGGGTAAGTTTCAGACTGCCCAAGTTTACCTTGCAGCATTATGCAGCCGTGAGAGAATGGTTAAAACATACTTTCTTAATTGCATTTTCAATACAAGCTTCTACTAACTCACTGTTTGTTGAATTTGAAGTCTCTCAAGCCTCTCCCATCCCACAGTACCCATCCATCCACATTGAGATCGTAGCCGCGATCTCATCCCGCTTCCCCAATTGCGGCTCCAATCGGATCGGTCCCAGTCAAGAGCTCCCCTTACCTCTCCCCCCACCAATACATCCGCAATCCACCCAAACTCCACTCGAACCACAACGCAAGCTTGAGGTTAACATTGCCCTTTCCCGGTCGACCGCCGAAAACACCTTTCTAACATGAAGAATCTCTGAGTTCCGAAGAAAAAGCGGGGTCCATCTACAGAGCCTTCTCCTCGCTGCGCATCTCTCTCTCTCTCACCCGTGTCGTGTCTCGGAATGACGACATGATCCACACCAGGATGCGGGCGCGCAGGACGCGAATATTCAAGAACAACGGTCGCGCGCTCAGAAATCCCACTAGGCACAAGATCCCTTGCAAGAAAAAAATTAATTTCTCGAAATCCGTACCGCTGGCAGCCACGGACGCATTTCCACGATAAGATTAGATATATCGCAAAATTCCTAACAATCAGATAGGTATCTTAAGAGTTTAAGAATCTAATCACCTAATTGGCTGATCTGGTTCGCTTAGAAGGTGCACGGTCCAGTGCGTCCTCTCGCTGCAGCACAACGGATAGGGGGATCAGGAGGTCTATGAGTAAGTCGCTATCACTTGTAAACTCCGCCCCTCATTTACACGCCAAGGTGAAGCGAAACAGAAAAGTGTGCCTGTCTGCTTTTCGTTACTCACTATCAGTGTGTCTAAGACAGCCTAGAAACGAGCCCAAAATTAGATCGAAATTCAAATTCGCTATCTGCTGCCCTTTTTATACCCACCACCCTCTCTTTTGCTCTTGGATTTTGCACTCCTTGATCATGCGGGAAATGGCAGAAGGTCGTGGGATACACATGTTTTATCCACCAAACCATTGATAAAAAGTTGGGCCAGAAAATACAGCTCAAAATCTACTATATTCTGTCCTAATAAGCCCAGAGGTTTCCTTTCCCAGCAATTTAAAGCTCTAGGGCATCTCCGTGGGGGCTTCTTTTTTTCTCGGGAGAAAAAAATGATGACCACGTTGTATATCAGTATTATATAACTGCAAGCACTCACCCCAACTTGCATCTCGACAAACTTTTGCTGTTTCCCTCCTTTCTCACCACTTCCACCGCCAGAAAAAGGTTGATCGTTTGAGGCAATTTTCAAACCCATCAAGGAAATCGCATTCCAGTAAAACGCGTCTCAAATTATTATTAAGTACAGTAGTAATAAGTAAGGTATTCCGTGTATTCATCCCATCCCAGTTCCCATTTTCATCCCGTGAATCCAATCATCAATCAACCTGCAAAAGTGGTATCTTTCCCCCCCAAGCCCATCTCCCAATCCAAACACCGTGCCAGGTCTCCAAAAGCCCTTCAAAAATGACTCTTCTCAGACAACGGCGTATGAACGGAATGCAAAAGCGAATGAAAACGCCCCAGAATGAAACCCGCCCGGTAGAAAGAGAATCCTCTACAGAAGAACGTCGCGTGTGCGTTTAGAATCTTCAAACGTCAAATTAAACTCAAAACCATTCAGCCTAAGCAGATCCAAAACCGTCAAAAAGCTGTTATATTGGGTACATATCCTCCGTTCCGCGCGTCCTCCCTCCCTTCCCCCATGGTTCCCGTTTACCCACTCTACAACAATTCCCCAACCCAATGCCCCAGCCCCGCCAAGAAAATGCAGCTCAGAACATAACAACAGTAAACTAAACAAGGGGGGATATCTGTAAAAAAAAAAAAATTAAAAAAATACCAATAGAACACAACACGGACACCAAATTAACTAGGTCGCAAAGGGCGGATAAGGAAATAGCGATCGAAAGGACAATATATGCTACACTCCATCCAATGCAGCCCGCTCGACAATCAGCACTCGAAACGCCCCCCAGATGGTATGTTTTGCCTTTGCCTTTGCCGTTGCCCGGCCTTTGCCCCCAAGTCAACCCTAACACCACCCAACCGAAGCCACAGAAAACAATGATAAGGTAAGAGAATGATTGATGCATGCATGCGAAAGATAGGAGGACGTCTATGGTGTCGAGGCATGGAGGTACTGTCGTGTACTGTACTTTGCTGATTAGAAGATAAATAACGAGTCAGGTCTCCACAAAAGGTCCGAAGACCGAGTTGCTAGGGAGAGCGAGAAGGCGAGGATGAGACGACCGAGATCTAAAAACAGGGAGGGTTGCGAAGGAGGAAGAGGGTGTCGAGGCGAATACCGTATCTAAATCGAAATGAGGAAGCTTAAGGCCGACCGCAGCTATCGTCGTGTAACAGGTGGCTTGACCCAGACCCAGACTCGAGATAATTTGATTTGAGTTCAAGCCATCGGTGGATGGGGGTGGGCAGCAGGGTTGCGATGTTGTGCAGGCGGCCTGCACATGTGAGGGAATACGAGAAAGCCGGGGCCCCGAGAAAAGAGGCGCTAGCGAACGAAGGGACACATGACCAATGAAGGAGCACACCCTCAACTTCACACTTCATTCAGCCTCACCCAATCACACGCCGCACGCGCTTCACGGACGCGGCACCTGCTGACTCTGTTGTTGCGACGACAGACTTCGCACGATGCGGTTGTCGCCCCCGGGCACCGCTGCTTCCGCCAGGCTACGGGAATTGGGGTACGCCAGCGTTTGGGCGTGTCCAGAAGTACCGGCGCTAGTTGCTGGGCTGCCCTCGAGATACATGTCCCCCCATGAGCTTCGTCCGCTCTGATTCTGCAAGTGTTGATACTGCTGCGACCCTTGCAGCTGATGCTGCGCTCCTCCTTGCCAGTGACTTGCGTGCTCGTGGGGGTTGTGAGAGACTGCTACTCGCAGATCAGGAGGCCCGCCTTGAGACGCCATCGACTTTTGGTCGTGAGGGGAGAGGGCCCGCGCAGGGATGCTCATAGAATTGTACGCCGTCGATGTCGTTGAGCCTGATATCGACCGTGGGGAGTTGATTCCATGGTGGTCATTTGTATATGCCATGCCTGCAGATGGCCCTTCAGGATAGCCGGTCGAGCTGACCGGTGTCAGAAGTGCTGGCGGTAAAGTTGAAGATGGACTGGCAGACTGGGGAATGTTAGCACTGCCACACTAATTACGCTTCTCCCACCTACGTATTTGCCAATGATTTTCTTCAACGCAGATGCCAAGTCTTTCCAATGGAATACCTTGACATCTTTCTCGATGTTGCGTGGCTTGGGGGCAGGGAAAGCCATGATGACTTTGAAGAATTCTTCGCTGTCTGACTTTCCCTTGGAAACCGTCAATGGACGGAAACCCTCCAAGTTCCTCCGTATCCGGTTCTTCTCCTCTACAGTGAACCGGGCTGCAACCAACTGCTCCAATAGATAGATTGTATCCACACTGGTCACAAAACACTCCTGCTTCTCTTCCCAGTAGATGCAGCTAATGCATACACTGTTCGGCGGTCGATCATCCACGGAAACAGGCTGGAATGTTGTTGTGATCGTGCTTCCTGATTGAGACCGCCTGAAATGTACAAGCCTCCTCTTTGATTCAAACTCTTCCTCGGTCCAGTTTTGAGCCATAGCGTCGAGATCCCCTTGGATCTCAAGCTTCGCTTTGTGCGGGTAAAGTGCATATGCATTGAAGTTCTGACCAGGGTGCCCACCGTGTGGCGTCGATGCAGGGCTTGGCGTTTGTTGCAAGGTTGATGTTCTGATCAAAGGTGGATTTGCTGGTAAGGATGGTGCAGGGAGAGACGATAACGCAGGTCGAGAGACTGCCACATTCGAGGGAACACCACCTCGACCGATGTTCGAGCCGACTGTTGGATAGCCTGCCCAGTTTCCAATTTGTGGCGATTGAGCCTTCAGAGACGGGGGAGATGCTGTGGCGGAAGACGGGTATCCATATGCCAGATGCCGCGATTGCTGTCCCCCTTGATAGCTCCCTGCAGATCGGCTCTGGTGGCTGCCATATTGGGGGGCGACATTTCCATAGGAATTCGATTGCATGTATGGCGAGTATGACGGATTCGAATCTGTCGATGGATAGCCATAGCTGCTGCCAAATTCCTCCTTCGGCCTCAACTGCTGGCTCGCAGTTCTTTTGGCGGGGCTCTTCATGAGTTCTGCGTCTTCTGCAGAAATTTTCCTCTTCCTCGACACTTCCTGAGGTGTGCTGCTCCCGCCTTGCTCTCCACCATCAACATACGTGAAGGTCCCAACATCGACTTTGGACATCACGTCTCCTCCATCTCCACTTTCCATGAACATGACTACCGATACCGTAGGGGCTGAGAAACCCGTCGATGAAAACGGTGGAACTTCTGCTGTAATGTTGTACGAACACACACCTCCTGCTTGGTTCAACTTTTGCAGCGAAGCCTGACACTTCCTTTGCCCAAACATCAAGAAGAATATCGGTGAATTTGCTGTCATGAGCGGGTACAATGTCGTAAAATAGACTTGGAATTTGGTATCTCGAGTTCCTCTGGAAGGTGTCCAGGACGTAATTTCGGGGACCGGGGTGGAGCCGACGTTTAAATAAGGGCCAGCCTGGTCGTCGTAGCCCGGACGCGTTTGGTTTGGGGGATATGCCATTGTCAGCTGAGGTGCATTTTGGTAAACTGGTGCCGATGTTGTTGATGAGACGGAGGGCTGCGAGCCGTAAATTGGACCTGCGAAAGAGTACGAGTTTTCGGGATATACTCGTTCGTAACCTGTAGACAAGTTAGTACGTTGCAAAATTAATGATCCAGCCTCGAATTGCGTGCCTTGAAGTTGCGATGGTTGAGGCTTCCCGTAACTAGACATGGAAAGGATACCCTTTGGGGAATCCGCCCTGGCCACGAGGGCTCCCTCGAACCCTTCTTCGTGAAGAGCCGCAGTCTCGGGCGATGCGTAGGATTCGTCGAGTATTATAGGTCTATTAGAGGAAATGTGTTCAGGCTGGGAGGAATGAGTCAGTAAGAAAACGCCCAGCTGTCGACAGGCAGCGATTCCAAGCCGGATAGTTCAGCAGGGACTCACTTCGAACAGCCTGTACGTTGGGTATGCCAGTTTGACGGTGGTCTGGGTGACTGGTAGAGAACGACGATGCTGCTGCGGATTCGAGAGTCAACAAGTCTCGAAAATGGTTATTGACCGATGTAGACCGTAGTTTCCTGGTCCATGGAACGCGCGTAGACTCCGAGAAGGATCGCAGGCGTCCTATTGTTCTGTTGACTTGGCGATCTGAGTTCTGAAGGCCTGTCAAACGACTCTTGATCTAGAAGTGGGAAGCCGCGCAGGTCCCAAGACTCGCTGGGTCGAGCGCTCTTACTTCTGATATCGCGTTCGAGAAATTAGAGTTGTGTCCGGCGCGGGACTAGACGGAGTGCCGGGAGTTAGAGTGAATTTGGTACGAAAATCGCTAGCTGGTGGGCCTTCTAGCCGGGGCTTGACTTCTGGATATACACCGCGTCAACAAGCCGCCGTCCTTAGTGGTGATCGAGTTTCGGGACGCCTGAAACTCCTGAATAAAGTGCTGCAAGTGCGGACTCTACAGAGTAACGAATGGTCAGCCGCTGCTGGGCAAATATTGGGTCGACGAGGGGATGGTGCGGTCTGGCTGCAGTTGACGGGAGCGAGTGGGGAGCACGTACTTAAGCAGACAAAGACTTGAGGCTTTTGATGGTTCGACAAGGTCGACCGGGTCCCCAGAGGATATGCAGCCACCCGATGCGCGACCTGTTCGCATGGAGAGTCAGAATCAGTTCATGCCGTCACGGTCACGCCCGAAAGAGAGAGCCGGTGACATTCGTCAAAGGACTAGGACCGTGGAGGGTGTGCAGTCAACAGGCAGCTGCACGCATGCTTGCTTGCCGTGAAGTAGGACCTGGGGTGGTGGGTGCTGCTCCAAAGCAAGATCTTGCGTGCAAATGACTTTTGTGGACTGGGATGCAAGGGAGGATGAATGATAATGGGAAGGGGTTGTGCGCACATACGATGGTGGGGTCGAAAGCTCTGCAACTTTTCAGTAGTGCTGGAAACGAGCGAGGAGCAGCAGCAGCAGCGGATGATCCCAGCTGGAAGCCAGCACTGGGCCACCACTAAGATCTCGTGCGCGTGTGAAGGCGGCTGATGGCTGCACGATCTGAATCTGGCTACCCGAAGCGAGTGATCGCAGCTGGCTCCGCGCCTCTGAAAGGCTGGACGAAATGCCACTCCTTTTCTCCAATATGTCGCCGGGCTCCGCTGTCCAAATTGCACTCCCCAGAGTTTCTGTCGATTTGACCAAGTCTTGACGTTTGTAATTTCGTGTGCGGTGGGCGAGGCGAGAGTGTCTAGGCTGGAATTCGCCAAAGCAAGACTTGCGGCAGGCTGAACACAAATGATCTGAGATCGATCGGAAGAGCGGCTGCTGCCTCCTCTGAAGGATTGGGTTGCTGGGCAAAAAAGTCCTGTCCGGGCGAGATGTACGACTGACTGCGGCCTCGAGCTACGTAATGCCTGGCCGGATGTTCGAGCTGAAAGTTGGCACGTTAGATGAGGGGGAGGGGCGAGTCGGTCTTTAATGGAAAAAGGCTTTGGTAAGGGAGCCGACCCAGGACTGTGGGCTGGCAGAAGCGTCAAGGGCGTCGAGGGCGTCGAAGGCGTACTGTATAATATATGTGTGATGGATGGATGGATATTGAGCGAGGGAGCGAGTGATCAGGTAAACTACGATTCGCTAGCAACCAGAGCATGCAGAGATTTTCCAAGCAGAAGGAAACAAAAGAGGCGTTGTTCTGGAAGGCGACGATTTTAGCAGAATAAGGAACCGCAGCGGACGCCCCAGAGATATCCCAAAATTTGGTTATGGCTTGAGGTAAGGGCCGTGTTTGGACGAGGAGTGCGAGTGCCTATGCCATTCTTGTATGCGTGCAGACACTGCAGAGCCCGGCTGAGGGACGCGAGGATGCGGTGTGTGGGTGGAGGGAAGGGGTGGGCGTCTACTTTGGTCGAGGTACTTTGTGAGTGGCGGGAGAGGATGGGGGGGGGGGGGAGGAGAGAGAGAGGCTACGAAGTTCGAAGTCGAGGTTGAGGTCGAGTCTTGTTTCTGTACGACTGGATGAGCTGCGGGCGAGGGAAAAGCACAAACTCGTGGAGGAGGACGCGGAGGACGCGGACGGGGAGGTTCGCAGGGACGTAGCCTGTCGCCATTCTCCGGTGGTGGGGGGGGAAGTCGAGGAGTGCGAGCAAGCCCAAAACGGCAAAGCCACACTGAGTGACTAGCTGCTGGGTGCTCTCTGGCTGACTCGGCCTGCGTGCCTCCCGTCGTCGACTGGCGATTGTCTGGGCAAAGGGCAGAGGGCAGCACCAGCAAGAAGCGGTGACATCTGCAGCACTGGCAGCACTGGAAGCACTGGGAGAGGAGCAGCGAGCCAACGGGGAATTTCCTCTCGCTGACCCTTTTGGCAGAGAAAAGGGACATGGCCATCGACTGTCTCTCTGGAGCTTGTCCGGACATCGCTCGCTCATCTTGTCAAAATCTCTGGGGCAGCGGGCCAAATTTTCCCAGGATCCCAGGAGGCGACAGGGGGAGCTACAGGAGCCAGGGTCCCGCGGCCAGGGATGGGCCGCAGGGGGAGCGTTCGGGGGTTTAGCGTGCGCTGCTTCAGCATCGAAGAGCATCGAAAGAGGCAAGGCGCTCCAGCGCGCACATCACCCGAAATAGCTCACGCTCCCTTTCGGACTGCGTTCACGCCTCTCTTCCCTGCGCCGCCGCCCAAGCTGGCCAAGCAGGCCAAGCCGCTGCCAGTATCGCCAATCCCAGAGGCTCGCGGCGCTCCACCATCGCAGCTCTGCCGTGAGGGCCTGAGAACTGCAGAATTGGATGCAGCAGCAGCAGCGCAGCAGCAGCATTAGTACCATCAGCATCAGCAGCTCCAGCACCAGCTCCAGCTCCAGCAGCGCTCATCCCCTTCCAATTTGCTCCGTGCTGCAGCGATTGCCCAAACAGTTGCCCCATCCAATTCCAGCGCATGCGGGAGATGCTCCAGCGCATGCACTGCAAATCATAAGCCATCGGACGACACATAATATTCAAGCCGTGCTGGTCCGGCGTAACGTTCGGCCACAGCTTTGCCCAGCCAAACGGGCTCGCTGCTCAGTCGGCTGCGCAGCGCACCAGTCTTATGCAGCCTCCCTTCACCCAAACTCTCGGAGCCGGTGCGTGTGTCACCATCCCCCATTCCAACGTCACCCCGTCACTCTGCGTACAGTAAGTACAGCCAGCGGCCTGCAGGCCTGCCTGCCAGACGTGAGTGAGCCTGGCTGGCGCTGGCCCTGATGCCGGCACCGCTGCCAGATCGCCCCGGCACTTGATATCGCACAACCAAGACACCATTACAAGGGAGGGACATCGAGATGGCAGCAGATCCCCATCTGTCCATCTGTCCAGTCCATCTCATCTGCACATCGCAGTGCATCTCGCGCGCCTCGCTCGCTGCTGCTCATCCTCCTGATCCTCGTCGCAGCTCCTGCATACCGCCTCGGCTTTCTCCAGGCCTTGCTCGTCGCCTCGTCTCGTGAGAGTGCAGCGCACATCGTGTGGGGAATTCATCTATCCTCAGCCTGCTGCCCCGCTGTGGTAACTAACCACTAAGCATCTTACGCAATACGAATCACCCGGCTGCCCTTGCTGCTGCTCTGCTCATCATCATCTTCTCCTCCTTCTCGCCCACGGGACCAGATTCGGGCCAGAGCGGAAGGGAGCAAGGGGGCAAGGAGCAGGGAGCGAGGCGCAAAGGAGCGAAGGAGGCAATGGAGCAATGAGCACCGGCGACTGCATGCCAAATACTCCTCTCGGCGCGCCAATCGCGGGTCGCTGGGCCTGTGCTCGTACGTTGCGCTGCCGATCGTGAGCACCGAGCCAAGCCTGAGCGTCCCAAACAGGCCGAGCTGGAGTCCACCAATATTCTCTGAATATTTCGACAGCAAGCGCAAGTACTGTACTGTACCAAAAATCGTCCGCCGTGGGTGTTGCACAACGAATCACGGCAGGAGAAGATGCAGCAAGAGATCGACGACCTGGATCTTCTCGACGGGAGTGTCAGGTCATGCCCACTTTAGGGGTGGCCTGCCCGGGACAGGGGTTGTGCGCGCCACCGTGACAGGCCATTTCGGCCACGCTCCCGAAGGTGCAGACGGTGCAGACGCAACATGAACCTCCTCTTGCACTACGCTCTCCGCACGGCGAGATGCTACAGAAGGCGCGGGTGCTCATTCCAGAACTGTTACATTTCACCGCTGCAGTGCGATGGCCGAGCTATCACTCTCATCTTGCATCGCATTGCATTGCATTATCCCGGATCCCGCAGAAGCAGAGGAGGAGGTGTTGCAGAGACTGAAGGACACGGTCGACGCCGCTGACTGGGTGCGTCATGGAGCTTTCATCATCAATTGGGAGCGCCCGCAGAATCGCCTCGTCATGTGAGCTATTGATAGCCACACATCGCGGCCACGGAGATCATCAGAGCTGACCGGCCTGCCAGGCATCCCGGAGATAGCATGAGCTGGAGGTGTGCTTGAGGAATCATGGGCAAGAGCTGTGGTGGACGACCTTGATGCAAAGGCTGCCCGCCCCACAGCGACGCCTTCAATGTGCCATGTGGCTTCGTTTCCTCTCAATAATCGGATTGACGAATTTTATTGCAGACGTTGCGGCATTGGTGGCTGAGCGCGTTTGGATTGATTTTACCCCAGTTCTCGTCAGTCGCCAGAAGACCTGCCAGCTGAAAAACGCTGCATGGGTGTGTGGTCGGGAGGTCGGCGAACTCTCCTTAGCTTGAAGGTTATGCAGCCACAGTCGCAGATCAGTGGTGATCAATGCAGGCACCGACAAGGTACAGCGATGTGAAGTGTGTTTTGCTGGCAGCTTTTTATCCACGACCACACGTCGAGCGTCTCCCGCAAATCTTTGCACGCCAGACCTTTCAACACTCGAGCTAACTAAGCTAACTAAGCTTCCGAACCTCCTTTGCCCCCTTTTCCCCTTCTTCCTTTTGCTAGCGGCCACAACATGGAGAAAGTCCGTTTCTGGCAAGTGTCTCATCTTGGAAGAAACCGTCTGCCGCAACCTTAACGATAAATCTGGAGCGCCTCGGCACGAACTGCCAGAAATGTGGCTTTCCAGGATTTTGGTGGCTTCATCGCTTTGGACGCGCCACAGATCTCGTCGCAAGAAACAATTCTCTGAGAAATATTCCTCCTGACTTTAGCGCTTCGCTGTGGCCAGTGTCACAGCACCGGATCCAAATTGGTTTCGCGCACGGAAGATGCTAGACCCTCAATTCTCATCTAATGCAAGATGTCACGAATACTAACCCTGCGACGAGCATTGAGTGCACTCGAAATAAAGTTACGATCGTTTTAGATCCACTGACGTGGACTACCAGCGGGAATTTCACCTTACAGGCACCCGGTGTTCAGAATTCAGAATGCTCAGCCAATCTGACCGTTGCTCTCAGCCACAGTAAATTTGGCTGAAACCCACTAAGAACCGGGCTAAAACTCGTTCCTCTAGCGACTAATAGCCTCTGTGGCTTTTCTTGCATGTTACAGGAAACGTTTGAAAGAAGTGAAAGAATCCTCTCCATCACCAGCGCCAAGCTTGAGCAACTCGTGTTAACACTCTTCATCAAGGCTACCTGCATGAACGCTCCGGTCGTAGGCATGTGCCATACAAAATTCGGCTGCATCCGAAGAACGTTTCTTCTTCCTTGAAACCTTTACGCCACAATCCACTGGCATTTGCTATTTAAGCGTGTCAGCCAACGGAATGAAAGTGGCCTGACATTGCATGCCACCAATGGCAAGAAACTCGCGGCATTCCGATTGCATTTGCTGTTGACTTCCATTTTACTTTGATAGAAGCATTGCAAACGGGGCCTGGATCCTTGTACTACAACACCATGTTCGACCAAGGTGTTGGAACAAATCTCGTCCCTTGATTGCTGCATGAGGCCGGGATAATGGGATCGTACCTGTCAGTCGGGACCGACGAACTTTGAAAGCCTCAATCAGGCTCCTGCATGTCATCTCGAACTGTCTCATGGCTCCACTCGACCTATTCTCAGCTCATGGAGCCGCCCAAACAAGGAGAAGAATCATTTTGGAATCCCGCATAAACTGTGCTTGGCATAAAAAGGAATGAACAGATGGACTGTGCAAGCTCCCTCCACGTGTGTACCGCATGCAATTGGGCGGCAGTGAGAAATGTTGAAGTATCGAGCCACATGGCGATTTTTAACCGCCAACATTCCGATCACGATACATTGAATCAGTGGCGAGTCAACAAGGCGTCGCCCGTCGTATCTCAACCACTCCCCGCGATGCGCGTCCTCCAAGATCTGTCCACCTGCCTCTGATTGGCGAGTGTCATCTGCCGCAAATCTGGCAAGTCCATCACTTGCTTGTCCAGACCGGTGCCCGTTGCCAAGAACCAGAGGTATTGATGCACCAACGGCATGACCCATTTCTTGGAACTGAAAGAATTGCGAACCCCTGGACTCCTTCAATCTTCTTTCAATTCTCAGCAAGTGCATCGGAGAGAGTTCCGCCTTGGACGATACAAGGGATCGATCAATAAGGATTGAACGTCATGCGGCTGCGTTTCCACGGGATTTCGACATGTCGTGTCAACTCCGCAGACTATCCCTGCACACGCGTGGATGTGCGATGCCCGCATACCATACTCCCTCTCCTTTCTTTTGCAATATCCACAATCTCCAAGGTGGAGTTCATAACTACTTCTGATACAGATTCAAGATCTGATATCAACCGGTACGGAAGTACTTGATTGCTGAAACCTGACCTCTCATCGCCCAATTCCGCAGCCTCATACATATCTCTGCCATGTTTTCCCCGCCTGCATTCCAACCTTCCCTTCCCCCCCGCTCCTGTTCCCTCTTTCCCTCGTGATTCCGAACATGACATTTGTGACCTTTCTTCAAGCTGTTGGTCGTTCTTGGCTTGCTTCTCTCTTCTAGATTTTCTCCTTCGCCGACGCTCCTTCCAGCTTGTCTGTCTTGGACCTTGCGTATATATCTACTTTCGCTCACCGGGAACTCCATCTCGGTCTTTCCTAACATATCACGCTGTCTCAACTCTATCCAAGCTTCTCTTGCAAGCGTCTTAAGGATGTAGGCTGTCCCAATTCTGTTCAACCTTCCATTCCATTCTCGGACAGTAAAGTTGAGAAACCTTGTTTCAACTCTATCTCTTCACCACGACCCCGACTCACCTCAGATTGGACACCCCGGATAAGATCCGCAGGGATTGGACATCGAAATCTGTAGCAGAATGGCGTTTGAGCATGTTTTCGCTTGCTTCGCATTCGCTTCACACACACACACACAAAACATTCTATCTCGAATATCTTCATCGAAAACCTTGATTTCTCTATCTTGGATAAATACGAAGTACACGAGTGAATGCCAAGTGATTGTAATGAGATATCAGAGGATAGGGATTAGGTGAGATGAGACGGGCTAGATTAGCAACGACATCCCCAATCCCGAATGCGCGTTGCTCTTCCCCATTCCACGTGGGGAATGGCATCATGTGGTTGACGAGAGACGGGGGACAGATGTGCGGAGCCTTCCGCTGCGGAAGACGCAGCTGAGGGGATTAGGAATCGCTAAAACAAATGGGGGCTCGGGTTGCGTCCAAGACATTGATTGAGATTGTGTTGGGGATCTTCTATCTTGGATGGTGAAGTGTCGTGGTGTTACTTGAAAATTGGGAGATTTGTAGGTTTTTTCGCGGAAATAATTCTCGGTGAGCCGTCCGTTCGGTGAAGATCCATCACTTTGTTTTATTTATATATATTGGATTCCTGTAGAGGAAGATAAATCTCCTGCAAGGCCATTACGAGGACAGTTGACTGCAATACTTTCCCAATCACCTGCCGTAGCTCTTCTCACATCATTTCTTAGTACACAATGTGTGTGTGCAGCAGCCAGGATTACTCTTCGTTGCTGTTCGTCCCGGATCCCACGGATCAAAAGTGTTGACATCGTCATTATCTATCCTTAGCATCCTGTCCTTCGCTCCTCTGCCTTCATCTCTTTCATAGCACGGGGGTAAATATGAATATATGCCCATCCTACCCGCAGAATTTTTGGTCTTCTCAGGATCGGCTTCTGATTATATTTTCTACTGGATGGTACACCGCCTGCTTTTTTGACTGTGCGTTTGAACGCGGGAAGGGGGTGGTTAGACGCAAGCACGCAATCCTCTTATCACTACTTCTCGATCTTCCTATCTCTTGCTCACTTTTCATCCTCAATTTTCCAATCCAAGAAAACCAACCCTTTTAGTCCATCTCACCGTTCATCATTACCGCCCTCAGCTCCGCGAGAAATACCCAACAAGATCCGAGCCGCAATCGCGACGAATGAAATAAGCGATACCTCACATCCTATCCATCATTTTCATCCCATCCCATCAACGTGCATTGCTTCTCCCATCCCATCAACATGCATTGCTTCTCCGTTCCCAATGCCGAGTTTCCCAATGCGGAACTATGCGAGGAGCGGTATGGGATAGCGATCTGCAATGCTTGGCGTAGCTCGGTGGTATTCTCGGAGGCGGGCGGAAGAGCGGGAGTGCGTTCCCTCTTTTCTTTGGTTTTCGTGGGTGGCGCGTGGGGAATCGGACCTTTTGAAGCTGTCGTATTGACTATTTAGATCTTGATTGGGGGATAGGTTAGGACTTCATTATCTATTGTTTAGAGTAGGGATTTTCCAGTGGATCTGCAAGGACAGAGATATGGGATTCAGCTCTCAGGGCGGTTTGAATGGGGACACTCCGAATGTGAGCCTTTCTACAATCGCTTTACGTCTTGTGTTAAGTGCTCTTAGTGTTTAATCTTCTCTGTTTGTTTATTCCAGTGACTTTACAGATATGTAGAGCTGTTCTATACTCTTGAAGTGTTGTCATTGAAAGAGGCGAGGCAAGGCTCCAGTGTTGGAGGGGATAGTCAATCATTTGGCACTTCCGAGCGTGCAGAAGCCGCATTCGAGGACATATGGCTAAGATCCCACCCCTTTTTACTTTAAACCCCGCTTAACGCCACCCTTGTGTGAGAAATGTGTACGCGCCAAAGCTCTGGTCTCAAGCGAGAGATTTTCATCGTCCTTTTTGAGAAAGTTGAATTTGTAGAGAATTTACTCATTACTTAGCTTGGAGCAGAGGCGGCAAATCCTTACTTACAGTTTATGCAATTCTCAAAACTTCAATGGCCAGTCTCACCAGTACTGAAAGCCAAAGTGTCATATCGGACGATTGTGGCGTCTCGTGCAGTCCCCCCCCCCCATTACCACTTCTCGGATCTCGGCATGCTTCACTGCTCAATTTCATGAGATTTCCTTATATCAAACTTCACTCCCCCTTCTTGCTAGCTTTCCAATCATTCGCCGTTCACCGCCTCCAACCCAAAGACATTCCGCAGAGTACAGGTGTTGTGTATACCCGTGGCAGTTGATATGGAAAAAGGAGCTCCATTTTGAAAGGAGGGCACAGTGGTAGATTGATCTCAGTTACTTGAAGAGTTGAAATATGGAAACAGGGAGATATATGATATGCCAGTGCAAATCCCCTGGACTGGTAGAGCAAGTACCGCTACAACACTGCCCTCAAACTGGATCCCCCTGATACGCTCAAAGTGCCTACCTCCTAAATCGTTCTTCTCATCTCCGAGACCATCTGCCTCAAACTAGAACAATATTCTCTAGCTTCACCTCCCCTTTCTCCAACTGCTCCATGACCTCCCCAGCCATCACCCCGTGAATATAGCTGTCTCCGACCAGGCCGTATCTGCCGTCTTCTCTGGGCCGCAGGATGAGTGGCACCTGCATCCCTGGGCATATGCAGCACACGTCGTTGAGCTCAGCAAGCCTGTCAACGAGCCCAAATCGACCGGATTCTGTGATTGCGAAGCGGCGGTTGTGTGCGTAATCTAGTGCCCTATCATATCTAAATACAGAGCTGCTTCCGCTCCGCAAAGAAGCTAGCCACTTGCGGACCGTGCCACGCATTCTCTTCCTCGTAGAGGTAGAGTGTTTATCCACAAGTTGTCGTGCAGCCTGGAGATATGCTTTGAAATCTCGCTGGTGTTCTACAAGATTAAATTCATCGTCTGCGGGATATTGTCGCGTCAGAGTCAGGCTGAAGGCATCCTCAATGGATTTCGTGCTGGTCGATACAACCTTAGAATATCGATCATGGCAATGCTTGTTGAAAGCTTTTCGAACCCGAGTGAAGAGTAAATCTATGAAGGGCTTGTCGGCAGCCCTTGTGTCTTCATCCCATATATCAGGGTTGAGTGATAGGTTATCCTCGTCGAGTGTATTGGAAGTCCAGGCCAAGTGATCGAAGATGATTGCAGGGAGCAGCAAAGACTTGTCGGTTTGAACAGCCGCGTTAAAATTTCTTTCCAGTCCTCCTGCCCGATACCAGAAGTGAGTAAGGCTTATTGAGTATTGCCGCCAATCTTTATCCCAGCGTGGCACCCAAGAAGGAAAGGCATCATCTCTCCCAAGAGTCGTGCCTTCAACGCTCTCGTTGTTGTGATGATCGACAAACGACAGAAGGTAAGGAGCTTCTCTTGGATGGGCCAACAATGAGCACGCCATCTCAAAGTAGACCTCCTGAATAGATTTGCTGTAGTCTGGCTCAACCACTAATTCATCTTCTCCATATTTCCTTGCCAGAGGATTCCCTAAAAATGCAAACACTCGATCAACCTCGAAAGTCGATTTCATTCTTCTTCCTGAGTCCAATACGCCCAGGAATAACATGTCGTTAGAGCTTCCATGTCTTGCTTTTATAAGTGGTTTAGTTCGCATCCAGCTTTTCGCGGATTGGTAGGTGCATTGCGTAGAAAAATTATCACCGACTTGTCCTGTGCCGATTTCCCCAACTAGGTTTCTTAAATCTAATCGGTAATCGACGAAGTCAGATAGCTCACACACTTCTGCTATACTAAGTTGGTTATTGCCCCAAAGCAGCGTACATTGCTTCGCAAGCGCAGCTTCTTGGATAACCCAGAGTCTTTTGAACCATGGCATCTCGACCAGTGCACGGACTTTGTTCCACCGCGACTTTTCAAAAGATATCGGAGATGCTTTGGTGATTGCCGGTATGTGCAAGACGCCTCCATAGATCTCAAGCTGATGATCAAGGTACTCATTGGTTTCTCGAATGAGATTGAAGCAATCTTCAGCAATCCCCTCGCTATCACTCCCCAGCCACACCAGGACCTCTTCAGCATTCTCATATACCTTCCCCATCCTCTTCACCTGATGTCCTTTCTCGGTATCGTCCTCTTGATTAATGCAGACAGCATCAGCCCACACGAATCTGGACTCTGTCCAGTCTCGAATATGGCTCAGAGCATCCGCGAGGTTAACCGTGACCTCGATAATCCGACCATCACAGATGATTGGCACTCTGTCGTTCGGGTCCCCCCAAACGTACGAAATGGCAGCGTATTTGTCCTCGGCATCGGCAAATCGTTCGGTGTGCAATCGACAACGTACGCCACCTCCACCATCCTCAGTGGTTTCGTCTGGTAACAACTCCAGGATCCGAATGAAATCATAGCTGGGAAGTGGCTGATACTGATATAACTTCCCAGTAGGGGTTTTGGCTGCTGTCTTTGAAAGGGCTGCTCGATCTTGAAGCCGCGAGCACAAGGCTGGGTGAGATGAGTCGGTCGACATTGCGATGGGCTTGAGGCCGTAGCAAGTTGGTGGTGGTGACGGATTTATCAAGTTGATGGAATATATGGGATTGTTTCGGTCACGTTGTTGCTGGTAGTTTACAATTGAGTGGTTTGGAGGTAGATGTCGTTCATGAGGCTACATGGATGTGATGCCTGAAATGCATTGCCAACACGACCAAACATCATGAACCAATAGCACCGACTTCTACCAAGCCACGATTTAATTGGCGGTTGGCTTCCTGCATTGAACCTAAATTGGAATGCGATTTATTCAGTATCACTTCCATGCCAAAAAGTAACGTGAAAAATTCAAGACTTGCATTAATACCAAGCATCTAACCGACCATCTATCAAAACTCCATCCAATTGCAAATTCCTTTCCTTATCAAACCGAATCACCAATTCTTCTGGCAGGCACACCCCGTTCAAACAACGATCTAATTCCCCATACCATCTGCCCTTAGTCTCCGGGACCATGAAATAAGACTAAACTAAACTCCCTACCGCCGTTACGCTAAAGACGAACCCGATCTTGCCTCCAAGATCCGCAGCATCAGTCTTAATCAGCATCGAGATCACAATGTTCATCAGTACACCAAAGACGTATTGGACCACGATTCCCAAGCTGACAGTTCGCGAGCGTAGGCGCGAATAGGGGATCTCGGCGAAGATGCCCATTCCTATTTCGGTTCTTCTTAGATCGGGCCCTTTGAAGCAATCGAGATATGACGTTGATTTCGACTTCCTATTTTCGAGATCGATGGTTTGGTTATCCCAGAGAGGGTGGAGGATGGAGGGGTAACCCAGGTGAGAGAGTGTTGAGAGCGCGAGGGATTGGTTGTTGGTACGGATGAGGTACCAGGGTGATTCTGGGTGAAGGAAAGGAAGAGGAGGAGAACCTGGGAGAAGAAGAACTGTAGGGAGAAAGGGATTTTGTAGGCAAGTGTTGAGGAGGGGGTTCTAGTGCCTTTCAGGACGAGATTTGCAGTCAGCTGTCCAATGCTAATGAAAAGTTGGACGCCAGAAGTCGTGAGATCACGGACTTGAACGGGGCAGATTTCTGTGGAATATGAGGGGTTGTGAGAAAGGCGGCGAGGGCGAGGCAGTTGATGAGCTGCTATCGTCAGCTGGATATTCGAATACCGAGACAGGAGAGAGGACTTGCCCTTCCCACTAGAAGTGTGATTGGTGTGCCGCAAATATCTGTATGAAGACCGCCCAATGCTAACGATCCAACCAATCCCTAATGTCATCCTCTTTCCCAACCTGTCTGCAAAATATCTTGACCCAATAGCGCCGAAGAATTCACAGATTGAAGACGAGGTGTTGAAGGCGATCGGCCAGCCATAGCTGGTGATGTACTGATTCTCGAAGAGATATCCGAGGTCGTTTTGGAACGACGGGACAGAGATGGCGCCGTTCGAAAGCTGAAAAATCGGCAGGATTCGAAGTTTGTGCGGTTGGAGTACATTCACCAGAACATCCATTCCCTAATTGTATGGCAGTTAACCATATGAAAGCAGACCACAGCACAGCGGTCTTGAACTGGAGAACCGTCTGCCACGTTGAATGCTCCGTCTCATCGATAGAAGACTCTTCACTCGTCATCCTTTCGTACAACCCCCTTCACCTGATGGGTATTTCCCATTCCAGCTATGCCGTCTCCTTTCGTCTTGTGACTTTTGAGGATTGCATGCTCAAATCCGTCAGAGGGAATTGGCGTATTAAGATCAAAATCGAGTTGGGTGGAATAGTCTGATTTATGCGTCCTATCGCAGCACATGAATGTTCGGGGCAAAGTTGGGGTCGGGATGATGGGTGACGTTGGATATGGAGAATGAGCCGAGGAAGGTATGTTACTCGTGAGGCGTTCTTTGACTGGCAGGCATTGCAATACGCCATACAAAGTCTTAAAAATAGGAGGATTCAGGGGTCATCTCGTGGGCGAGGAAGGCTTCGCATTAGCTTCTGATGGCGCGACGTTTGGAAATTCCGGAAAAGCTTTAAAGCGGTGGATTGTCGGCGAATATTGAGTTTGGGGCTCGAAGGTGGACATTTTCTGGACATAGCGTGCTCAGCAGGGATGGAGAGAAGGAGTAGAAAGATATAGAATAACAAATTGGAGGTGCTGAGAACAAGAAGGTTTCAAGGAGGGTGTCTGAGCTCACTGTGTGAAGAAAACGCGCCCATGTTCTCGGCTTCTCGATCTTCTCGTAGCAAGATCCCTTGGTGGCTCCTATGTTAGGATTAAAAGAACACATTGAGCTAGGTAGCTGTTCTGGTTTTGCAACATAGCCCATGCCTCTGCCTCGATCCAAGTTCGCTGTCTGGTAGTGGTTGCGAACAGCACCTCCTCGAGAGTTTTGTATACTACCTGTAGCCCCATCGATGCAGTCAACTTATAGAATGACTCCAGAAACGACCACATAATTTGCGGGTCGACAAACCCATCCTCAGCTGCCTCAGCGACAAACGGCGCAAAAATTCGACCCATCTCCATCACTTCCACGTACAGCCCCTTTTCGTAGCCACCCACTCCTAAGCGAGTACATATCCGGTCCAACACGTCTTGGAAGTCTTGAAATTTTGAGTCGAAAAAATTCCAAACATTGAGTAATCCTTGGACGAAGCAAAGAGCCCATAAATATTGCAACTCCTTGAATGCAAGATACAATTCGTTTTCACTATCGCGGCCGATGATAGGTGGTACGTTTCCGAAACGAGATTGGCGCTCAAGAATCCGGCAGCGAGTCATTATGTAATCCCAAGCGCTGCTCTCGATCAGTGCATCTCTGGGACCCGCGAATTGGTTGCCGAAGTAAAAGATGGGGTTGAAAACTGAATTTCCAGCTTGTTGCATCTGACTTAGCAAAGCTGGCCAATTTTCTTGCAAGTCGATAGGTGAAAGTTTGTATCGTTGCAGAAATGTGTCTATCTTCACACGACGGTTGGCTCCTGGACGCATTTTAACCAGAGCATAGTTGCAGACACACTGCCTGGCCGGATGATGGCCACACAGAGGCATCCTGGAGATCGGAGTTGACAGGAGATATGCTTGGGAGGTTCGCAAGACAGAATGATTAATGAAATATCACGTGGCTAATTACTTATTCGAGAGACAGACCAAATGAAATGGCCCATCAGGACCAGCTTGCTATTATAAACACAAGAGAAGGCCCGAAACGATTACTAATACGGCAAGGCAAGCAGTTCTCTGTATCACCACGAGCTGGCATACCTGCGGCTTGCCGGTTTGCATCGAGGTACTGGTTCGTTCAAACGCAAATCCTTTACTCGCAAGGCTGATACGACAGCCAAGATCACCCCATTTGTTAGGCCGCCTGTTATTCTATCTGACAGAGACATTAATCACGCCCGACAGAAACCGCTTTGTGGGACAGCGAGGCGGAGAAGCAGGAAAATGGGGAAGAGTTCGAGGTACAACGGCACGTATCTGCATGCGTGAACGACCTTTTTTTTCACGCCCGAACTAATAGGAGATGAGGTAGAGAATTGATGTGGGCCTGTGTTTGCCATTTTTGGGGCAGCTTGGGCTGGATGTGAACTGCGCTCACCGCTTGGCAGACAGCAAACATTGCTCTGAGTCGGCGCCATAAAAGCAAGGCAACTTGACAAATATGCTAACCCAGCACCTGGAAGACCACTTGATCTACTAACATGTCGGTTTCTGGTGTGTCTCGGCTTGACTCGATGGCCGCTATTTTCCTGATCAGTAAAGTGTAGTGGAAAGCAGGGCAATAGAGTTCGTGCAGAGGTCATCTCCGGGGACTGGCTAAATTATCCTAAAATAGGATACAGCTACCTCATCTCCCTCAACTTTGTCAAACCTTCTTCCTTATATCATGAATTCAGCTGCAACACATGAGCATAGCAAACGGCTTCACAAGTACATGTGAATATCACGCGAAGACGCACCCTGTCCTGGCCAGGTTTTCAGCCCAAGGGATTCGGCCGGCAAAGAACAAACCTCGTTTGATCTCAGGGTCTCCCTCCGCCGGCTTGTTCGTTACCCCGATGCTCCTCCTCAAGCTTTGAGGTGTTTGCTATAGTCCCGCCAGCTTTCTGGCGTTATACACCCAGCTAGTCAGCAGAGTATCCACATGTTTCCAAGCTTGTCCAGATCCCAACAAGTCTTCCAGGATTCCCAATATGGTGAAGCTTAGGGCTTGGAAATGTCCCAGACCTGCCCCCCGCATATGACTCCGGGAATCCGGTGAAAGGGGCTCAATGTTGGTGGAGCCAAGCTTCTAGTCCTGATGATCGTCCTGCAGCAAAATCGAGGACTCTTCGCCCTCGCCAAAGCCCCCTCGGAGCCGTTCCTTGCTTTCCCGGATGCATTGGCTAAATTTGTCAAGCCCGTGAGACATTGAGGAAAGGGAATTATACGGACATGGATTGGAATTTCCTCGGGGGGAGGGGGGCTGAGCTCTTTCAATTCGAATCGCTCTTTGTTTCGACTTGCTTGTTGTCAATCTATCCGCGACCTCCTTGCTTGCGAGGAGGTGCTGTGTGAGAGACCTGGCCTCGCTCGATATGTCACAATACTACCCGTCTAAATCTCAAATGAGATCTTCCTGAAATAGAAGTAGTTTCCTCATTCTTCTGCACCACAGTTGCACAGGTTGTGGCTGTGCTTCGGCCACGACCACGAAGCGGGCCTTTGGTAACCATGGAAAGTATTCTCCAGCCTTTTCGAAGACAGTCGAGGGCATTGTTGGTTTGCTGCGGATAGTCTTCTAGGCATACCATTTCTCTCAAGGTCTCCTTCCTCCAGGACTCCCAATGTTGGCTCGTGTGCAAGGCTCCGCCTCGCCTATCCAACCGCTTTCATCGCTTGCCAATCATCTTCAGTCCTTGCAACTGCCATATTTGTTCCTCTTATTGTTTCTCTCACACTTGCGGCCAGGTCCTCTGTGAGAGTATTTGGTATGTCGCTTCTCTGTCGCAGGCTTGGCTCTGGTTCCCAACTAATGACCACCTTCCCGTGCAACTTGACTCAGCTTTGGAATCTTTGCATAATGCCATGGGGCCATGATTCTTTGCGCCAGTAAAAGCAACATTATGCATCATGGGTTGCATTCCTTCAGCTCCTGCTACGACTCTAGCATCTCGACGGCTAGGGTTCAGGGGTCGGGCAAGGCAGAAGAAACAAGTGTGGGGTATTGCTTGAGAGAAAGTGTCTCAAAGAAACCCCGACTCCACACTTCAAAGGTTCAAAAAGGTGAAATGGCGACATCTGAGGTCTGGGACAAATCAAATCAAGTATGCAGATAGATACGTCCAAGTTTTGATGACACTTGATATCCCCCACACAGGCTTTTGTGGGGGTTTCTGAGCGGCGAGACTGTCACCTGGACTTGTCCGTGGGAGGAAAGCAACACACCGGCGGTAATGGAAGTAGATAGAATGGAAACCAGCTGGCCGAGCAATGGCCGCCTTTCATATATCTCCAATGAGTGATTTTTCAACTTCAGCCTCATGGCTGCCTGCCCCCGAGCATTGCCACAGCTAGGGTCAACTTACCCGGCCTGAGTCAATACTTGTTGAATTGCAGCCTGTACCGCTCAAAAGCGAGCCGTCTTTTGACACAAACTGCCGCCTGTATCGCGGCCGACCCGTCTATTGACCGCATCGGGGATCCCGACGTTTGGAGTTGGCTTTTGCTGTCATCGCCAGCCCAAATTTGCAGGGTGTGGTTGGGCTGCCCCGGCTTCAGCCTCGTTGGTGCGGACAGGGATCGTAGCGCATTTTCCCAGGCGCCAGCCAGCCTCGCAGGCCAATAGAATGGTTACATGACTCTATCTGCAGCTCTTGCGTGCAGCACGCAGCTTCCAACGCACTGCACTTTTCTTCAACGCTCAACTGCACGCCGTCGTGTCATGCCGAGGGACCGGAGTCTACAAAAAGATTTGCCTCCGCTGTCCGGACATGCTGCTGGTGTTTGCGACCGTTAACGGAAGCGAGTACACAAAGGTGAGTGAGTTCCTGTGTCTGTGCCTGCTGACCTCCCACTGCCTCCTTCCGTCAAGGAGTCGTCGAGTGATTGGCACCTGTGCTGCTGTACACCTTCAACGGACAGCTGGCACTCTTGTCCCGGAGCAGATCTCCCAGTCGATCTTGTGCTTTGGAACTTCTGGCTAATCCGAGGGCATTTAGTGGCTGCTGATTGACGGTATCGAGCCATTTTGGGGACACCACGAAGACAGTTCCTAGCCAGCGGTGAAGTGAATGATTTGAACACAAAAGGCGCTGCAGGATTCTGCACCCTGCCGATAGACCGAACATCCTCCTCGATCACGCCACAAATCCACATCATCCACCATGGATACTCCAAGCACAAACCAGAGCGAGCAAGTAGGTGAGAGAGAAGGGGTAGCGCCCGATGGAGGAGAAGGCAGTGCGATTACACCAGTTGACACAAAGACCGCAAAGTCAACGGAGAAGTCGCCGAAGCCAAAGTCGAAGAAGCCTAAGGATGCGCAGAAGAAGGTCGGGAAGTCCAAGTCCAAGAAGGCTAAGGAGGTTGCCCCCAGCGATACTGACAATTCCGAGACTGTGAGCGACCTGGACTCGGACGGTAGCGATTCAACTTCATCAGACTCCGAGGACGACTCAGAGACAGAGACTGAGAAGGAGAAGAAGAAGAAGCGAAAGGCGAAGAAGAAAGCAAAGCAAAAGGCGAAGGATAAGCGCAAAGCTAAATCTAAGAAGAAGGCTCGGAAAGAGGTTTGTTATATCTACATCTATTCCTAGAAATCTACTGACAGGTTGCAGGCAGCTACTGAATCGGACTCTGACGATGATTCTGATGACGACTCAGAAGCAGAGACCGAATCCGAACTCGAAATTGACGAGGCAGCAGATGCAGATGCCGCACTCCAACAACAGCTTCTCCAAATGCAGCAAATGCAGCAACTACAAGGCTTAGGACAAGGTGGTCTCGGGCAACAATGGGGGAATCTTGGTGGAGCTGGCCGACGTGCTCAGTTAGGGGGAGGTGCTGCTGCGCGATTACAAGCCGCGAGAAATGCTAAGCAATTTGCTGCTCTTGGTCTTGATCCTACTGGCCAGTTGAAGATGGGCAGAAAAGATAAGAGAAGCAAGAAGAAGCGTGGCAGCAAGCTGGAGTTCAAAAGAGTGGACCAGTTGTGGGATAGCACTATCCATAACTATAAGCTCACTGATACGGCTGAGGATGAGGAGAGTTCGGAATACGATCAATACTTGTTCAATGTTCGGAGAACTTTTGATTGGGAGGGCAAGTACAAGGTATGCCCTCAATCTTCTGTTTCAGAGAATCATTACTAATTTCTCTCAGACGACCGTGGTCGATATCAAGAGCAAGCTCTTGAAGGAGGCTCTTAACGAAGTCATGGATGGTGTTAAAGGCGTCAGCTTAGTCGAAGAGACACCTTGCGTGGACCCCAACTTACTCTTCCTCTACCTCGAAGATCTCCGCAAACTCTGCAAAGAACTGAAGAATAAGAAGGTCACAATCAAGAAGGGCAAGAAGAAGGCAAAGAAGCGCCAAGAGACGAAGCGGAAGCACCTCAAGGTACTCTTGAAGTATCTCGATAAGGACTATTCAGCCACCAAAAAGACGCTTTATCCTATGCTCGAGTCAGGTCTTATTACATTCGATCTCCTATGGGCCTTGTACAAGCCGAATACGCTTGCGTATACGACTACCTATGGTTCTGTTGACGAGCCTCGAGCTTTCAAGATTGAACTGGCTGAGAAGGAGTTCAGCTTCATGAAGGGCGAGTGGTACAACATTGAAGGCAGATATCTTGAGTATGATGGCAAGACATGGGGAATGGGTAAGTCAAAACATTTCCTTTCGTCCCATGATCCACCTCGTCAAAATTTACCCCGCTCCTCATAACATTTGACCTTACCAGCACCTTGCACTCTCTGCTCTGTTAGCCGAAAACTGCTGACCTCACTAGGAACCATGGATTGTGACGTTCCGGGATTCAAGGGAGCGCGCAAGATCACCAGCTTGAACTGCTACCCCTTGAAATATCACAAAAACGAGGCCAAGATACGAGCTGAGCTTATCGAGCGGGGCAAGAAGTTCGTCTCATTACAAGGCGTCAACTACACATGCCACGAGGGCATGGCCTATTACAAAAAACGCAAGCAAATCATCAAGGTCAATATCAACGGTAGAATCATGGTTGATCCCGCCATTCATCGTCGGATCTTGCCAAATTACAACGTCAGCACTGTCAAGCCAAAGGATCCTGATATTTTGGACTCAGATTCGGACGACTCGGATGATGAAGGATGCGACTGTAACGAGAGTTCGGACGAAGAACAAGGTCGCGCTATGCTGGAAGAGCGTGAGAATAAGGATAAGGATGACGAGGAACCCAAGATGAAGATGAAGCTTGTCATGGATGATAAGGAACAACCCCGGATTATCGAAGTTCCAGTTGATGCTGAGGGTCAAGAAATCAAGGTCGAGAAGCTAGAGGAAGTCCCAAGCAAGATGGCTAACAAGGATGATGATGCTGCTGTTCTGCCAGAAGGAGACAAGAAGGCACTCCCCGTCTTCACTGACGAGGAATACCTGATTGCCTCTCCTGTGGTGCTCGGCTTTGCATTCGCCGAGAAGCTCTGGCTTGAGTTCACCGTCTCAGGCGTCAAGGACATCGTCTGGAACGAAGGTGCCTACGATTCCTTAGTCCTCGAAGACAACACCAAAGCAATCGTCAAAGCTCTCGTTGAATCCCATAAGTACCACCCCGCAGAAAGCATCGACGACGTCATCCAAGGCAAAGGCAAAGGTCTCGTCGCCGTCTTGCACGGCCCCCCAGGAACAGGCAAAACCCTCACAGCAGAAGGCATCTCCGAACTCCTCAAATGCCCCTTGTACATGGTCTCCGCTGGCGAACTGGGCACCGACCCTCGCACCCTGGAAGCAGAGTTGCAGAAGATCCTCGACATTGCACACGCGTGGGGCGCTGTCCTGCTCCTCGATGAAGCCGATGTCTTCCTTGAAAAACGCACGATCCAGGATATTCACCGCAACGCTCTGGTCTCCATCTTCCTCCGTCTACTCGAGTACTTCCAGGGTATCCTGTTCTTAACTACTAACCGCGTTGAGACCTTCGATGATGCCTTTCAATCACGAATCCATATCGCGCTGAGATATGGAGAGCTGAGCACAAAGGCGAAGAAGAGCGTTTTCAAGATGTTTATTGAGCGGGTTAGGGTATTAGAAGGCGTGGCCACGATGCCCTTTGATGAAGATGATTACAATACGCTGGCAAGAAACAACTTGAATGGTCGACAGGTGAAACTTTCCCCTCGATTCTTTGCCAAAGAATTTTACTGACAGTATAAAATAGATCAAGAACACAATCCGCACAGCCCAAGCCCTGGCAGTAAACAATAAGGAGCCGCTGAGCATGGAACACATTAAGCGGGTGCTTGACGTCTCGAACGCTTTCGATCGCGACTTGAAAGGTGGACCGGGCTTCGAGGATGCGATGAGGGGTTACTTTTAAGCCGTCATCTTCCCCTTTCTCTCCTCTTTCCTGTTCCTTCCTCCCTTCTCGGGAGTTTAACTTCTGTTCCGTCTTCTTTGGGACGCGATTTCTTCTTTCCTTTGGGCAAATGTATCAAGATGGATTGCAGCATGATCATGGAACATTTCCCACATTCGTTTAGATGGATGGGATACGGAGAAATGGATTGACTTGGGTGCATGACTGGGAAAGGATATGGGTTTATGGATGGAGCGAGCATTTTCTCATTTTCCTTTGCTGATAAGAATGGGTTTCCTTCTTCTTTTCTGCATCTCGGATTGAGATGACGGCTGTATTTACGAACTTTATGAGGATGGCGAGCATGAGAGACGACTCAAGGTTGCGCTGGGCTGGGCCTGGAGGGCATAACGGCAGTGAAACGATATTGAGGAATGGGAATGCGATGATTTCTCCCCTCACCCTTGAGATGCTCTATCTGTGCTCGTCTTGTGATATGATCTTTACTTTTTCTTATTTTCAGAGAGATGGGATTCTCAACATGTAGCGTCTATTTCGAGGACCTTTTCGACCTTTTCGACCTTTTCAGAGGAGGTGCACATATTGAAAACCTTGAGTACTGCGGTGAATCATTACTTTTCAGCTCAGCAGTAGAAACCTTGTCTGTAAGTAGTCAGCAGATGACTAGTTCCTGCTTCTGGGTTTGCCTCGTGATGACGAAGTTGCATTTCCCCTGCTTATCACGAATTCAATCACGTGTGCAGCCTGGCCCTTCTTATGAACCTTGTATATACAAATAAGCGATTTCTCGTCAATAGAGGTCTCTAGTCGTAAACTTAGCGCAATGTTAAGTTTCTGGACATACAGTTTGTATGTGCCCGGCTCTAACTTCCACCAAGGTAGCGAAAACTATCTACCAAAAGTGGTAACTTGAGTAACGGCGTGTGAGGATGATATGCTCTGCCACAAGCAAACCAAGCGAAAGCTGAGTTTCTTGGTCCGAAAGGATTTCTTTTGCTTCTTGATTTTACTCGGCTTTATTTTTAGGGTTGTGCGTCGCATTTTCAATTTCCTTTTTTTTTGTTTTTTGGCTTGCGAAAAGGGGGATTTGCTAAGCGAGGATGTGAGAACACTTCCCCATTTTCTATTATAAACGAAGGGATTGATCTCTCTCCCAATTACGGACAGATTAGACACTTTGTCGAATCATCGAAGATCGCTTTTAGGCTGTAATTCGAGATCTTGCTTAGTCTCTGAGAACCTTTAAGATTCCTAATTTGCAAGTTTGTCATTCTCAATTCCAGCTTCTCCTTTATCCTTTCCAAATTTTATGAAATCAATGCTCGTCCTCCCCACGAGATCTTGAACTCCTGTTCTCTATCTTATCTCTCTATATATTGCTCTCTTCTCTGTCTCTTCCTTCTCTCCTATCCTTGGTTTCCTCCCGTACTTGCCCCTTTCACCTCTCTGCGAAGCTCAGGTAAGAGAGCCGGAGACTCACAAAATCCCGTCGTCTTTCAAGGCATTTTGCAGAATTGTCTCTTTGATCGCTGCCTACACGAGCGAGTAATTGAGGTGTCTGAAGACTCACAAAGACGAGGGTATAGATTTAAATTGACTTGGTTTACCTGATTAAATCACCATATAATGTATTTCGCAGCCTTGGTGATATCGCTCCGCCTATGCAGTTCGGGGAGTAGTCTTTCAGGGGATCCTTGTGCAGTTGTTCCCGGAAAAGGTATTTTTGTGCACAGCCACCTAGTAGAAACTCTAGCAGAGGAAAATAACTCAACCTTCAGTGGCATTTCGTTCAATATCTATCAAGACACAAGATCCCTACTCTGCCAAATCCCGTCTGCCGAATCGAGGAAATCATGATTCCACTGGAGCCAAACTAGCTCTGTACTTCTCCACCTCCGGCAGCAAAACCTTCCACCTCTCAAGACTCTCCTTCGACCAAATCTCCTCCATGTCATAAAACTCGCTCACAACCGGTACCCTCCTATCAAGAACCACCCATTTCTGCTTCGTGCTGGTGAAAATATGGATCCCCGGACCCCCAACGGCATCTGGATTCTCGAGCGTCCCGACACGGACGAAGGTAAGAAGGGGTCCGGCACTGCTGTAATGGCTCCAGACCGCGATGTGGCATTTGGGACAGCGAGCGATCTTTTGGCCGCGGCCGGACTGAGAGGGGGTGTGGATTATTTCGGGGTCGGTGGTGAGGCGCGTGATGTTGGTGGCCTCGATTACGGCATTGAGGGCGAAGGCAGAGCCGGTTTCTCGTTGGCACCCTTGGGAGGTTAGTTGGTGGCAAGAGGCGAGGAAGGGAGGTGAATATAGCGACAGTGGCAGCAGTGGACTATGAGAGGTTTGGCTTCCACGCGGTATCTAATGTTCTGGCAGTCGCAACTTCCTTCCAATGGGAAGGTGGTATTCTCAGTCATGGTGCAAAAATTTTCGGCCTCACTGAGATTGTGGCATGAGAAATGGAGCAGATAAGAATGTTTGAGAATTCAGAGGCAAGTACGAAATGGTAATGAATTTGAGAGATATGAGAGCGTGAGTCGCTCTTTAAATGCGTGAAAGCCGTGGTGTGACGATGAAATATACCCCAAGCCATGTAGTTCATGAAAGGGCGTGATGGGACAGTAAGTCGGCTGAAAGTCAGTCCACATTTTAGAGGAAAGTTCCTTCACAATGCGCAACGACGAGCCCCCGAATCTAATCTGAGCCTTCAATATTTTAGAAGGAAGACATTCCATGAGAATTCTCAGGTTTCCATCCTGCCGAAACACGGATTACGAACTAAGACTGCTTTTGATGTTTGCAGGAAATACGCGAATCTGATGAAAAGGGGGAGGGGTATTTCTCGTGCCCCACTTCTTTGGCTTCAAAGAGTCAAGCGTCTTGTGATAGCTTATCACCATCACAATCGTAATCACAATTGTGGAGGGGGGCAAAATGTGGGGTATCAAAGTTCAGACCGAGGGGACTTTGACTTTGAAGGGGCCGTGTAGAGCGGTGAGGATATGCGCCTTGTGTACGCTGACTGTAGCTGCATTTGCGATGCCTGAAATAAAAGGGCATAAATGGATGATTGGCGTGGGAGACTGGAAGTGGGTGATGTGTGGGCCTGGCCGGCTGGCGCTCGAGTTCCACGAGGTCCTCAAACAGCGAATCGTTGGTTTGGGAATCGGACCCGGACAAATGAAGGCCTTCCAAACAGCCAGCAATAATGCTGAATCGCGCGGGTAGGGGCTTGGGGCCAGGCCCCTGAGGCTTCCGCGCATTATACTCCGTATGCCTGCCGAAGTAGCTTGCAGGCCAATTTGATACGTTGGGATACTTCAACAGCCTGAAAGGGAACTCCATGGCAGTGCCGTTCCAGATGTGGCTGAGCATGAGGGCCGTGCGATTTGATGACAGGGTGGCGAAGCCTCTGGACTGGGCAATCGCGATGTTTTATTTTTGGGTTAGGGCTGAGATGGAGGTACCGAAAAGGAGGTGCACAAGTCCGTGGGGCGCTCGATACATTGACGATGTACTGAAGATCCTGACATCTGAACAAACGTCGTCTATGCTGTTCTGTCGAGTGGAAGTAAAAGAGTTGTTGCCACCAGCATAAATGGTTGAGAGCTGGGCCTGGTTTGAGGGGGGTGAGCTGGAAGCGTCAGGTCATAGGCGAAACCGCACTAAACTAGTTTGGCTCGCTTATGGAATTTCGAACCGGCCTGCCCCAAATTTTTTTTTTAAGGGATTGTGTCCAAAATTTCAAAACCTTCCTCCTCCAAATCTCCGCTCCTTCCTACCTTGGGTCATTGGTTTTTCTAGACACAGCGAGCCACCATAGAGAGACGCTGCGTCGAATCCGCACCAGTCTCGGGCTCAAAATCCTGATAGAGTCTCTTACGCACCAACCACACCGATACCCTATCTTAGCGCGTCCCGCTCAGAAAATTCATCCCACCCACCTTCGCCGTCGGTTCCCCTTCTTCCTTTCTTTTACAACATGCCCGCGATCACAGAAGCATCTGCCTCAACCGCCAGCATGTCTTCCAAGGAGAATAAAAACAGCCAGAAGGTTCTTGATGAACTGATGACAAAGTTATGGATCTCTAAGGCGCAGGAGGACATCAATTCCGCCACCCACAACATCGCAACCTTCATCAACGGCGATATCGAAGAGGGCGACACTCCAGTCAAGTAAGTATACCGCTCAGTCATTATCGCGGTCTTCCTGCCCTTGGATCTGGCAAAATTGCTCCCGATTTTGTTCTCCGTCCTCCTGTGGCGGGGCTGCCGGTCGCAATCCAGTCCCAGAAAATTTTGCTGACATTGTACTGCACAGGACCGTCCAATCCCTCAAGAAGCAACTCGGCAACAAGAAGGATGCCAACGTCCGGGAGCGATCTCTCAACGCCATCCAGGCCATCGCTGAACATGCCGAAACTTCCGCCTCGGTCGAGCCATACCTTATCGAACTTCTGCCTTCGGTCCTTGCGGCTGTCAGTGATAAGATGGTCCCAGTCAAGAATGCTGCAAATGCTGCTGCTTTGGCCATCGTCAAGGCTGTGAACCCAAATGCTGTCAAGGCTATCATGCCTCCCGTTATCAACTCAATTCTCACCGCCCAAAAATGGCAAGAAAAACAAACCGGCCTCAGCATTATAGAGGCTCTCGTCTCCTCAGCACCTACACAACTCTCATTCCGAGTTCCAGATCTCCTCCCAGTGGTCTCCGAGTCAATGTGGGACACAAAGCCCGAGGTCAAGAAGATGGCATACGGCACAATGGAGAAGATTTGCGGTCTTATCGTCAACAAGGATATCGAGCGATTCATTCCTGAGCTCATCAAGTGTATCGCCAAGCCAGAGAACGTCCCCGAGACTGTCCATTTACTCGGTGCCACCACTTTCGTCACTGACGTTCACGAGCCCACCTTGGCCATTATGGTTCCTCTTCTCGATCGCGGTCTTGCTGAGCGCGAGACTGCCATCAAGCGAAAGTCTGCCGTCATTGTCGACAACATGTGCAAGCTTGTCGAGGATCCTCAAATTGTTGCTGCTTTCTTGCCAAAGCTGATGCCTGGTCTTACCAAGAACTACGAGAACTTGGCTGATCCCGAGGCTCGTGAGAAGACTAAGCAAGCTCTCGATACCCTTGTCCGTGTCGGTGCTGTCAAGGATGGCAAGATTCCTGAGGTTTCCCATGCAGGTGACATCTCCACCGTCCTTGCTATTCTCAAGCAGATCCTTTCCACCAAGCACAAGGATGCTGTCGCCAAGTTTGAGCCAGTCCTCGCGTACGTTTCTGCCATCGCAGGCCAACTGATCGACGAGAAGGATACCGACCGAACTAGCTGGACTTCAAATCTCAAGCCATACATCGCTGCCCTCATTGGCGAGGCTGATGCTTCGGGCATTGTTGATAGTCTCCGAACAAAGGCATCTCCTGGTGCTGAGGCTGAAGATGCCGAGGAGGCTGATGACGAGGAGGGAGAGGATCTTTGCAACTGTACATTCAACTTGGCATACGGTGCAAAGATTCTGCTGAATCAAACTCATCTCCGCCTTAAGCGTGGGCAACGTTATGGTCTTTGTGGTCCTAACGGTTCCGGAAAGTCCACTCTCATGCGCGCCATCAACAACGAGCAAGTCGAGGGTTTCCCCAAGAAGAGCGAGGTTAAGACAGTTTTTGTTGAGCACGATCTTGATTCTGCCGACACTGAGCAAACCACCATTGCATGGACCATGAAGAAGCTTGCTGAGGTCGGTGTCAAGACTTCACAAGCGGAGGTCGAGAAGCAATTGGGAGAGTTCGGCTTCACCCCTGATATGACTTCCAACCTGATTACTGCTCTCTCTGGTGGATGGAAGATGAAACTGGCTCTTGCCCGTGCCGTCTTCGAAGCTCCAGATATTCTTCTTCTTGATGAGCCGACTAACCACTTGGATGTCAAGAACGTCAAGTGGCTTGAGGACTACCTCATGAAGTCCCCCTGCACATCCATCATCGTTTCCCACGACACTGGTTTTCTCAACAATGTCTGCCAACACATCATCAACTATGAGCGATTCAAGCTCAAGCGTTATCGTGGTAACATCACCGAGTTCGTCAAGAAGTGCCCATCTGCTCGCTCTTACTTCGAGCTCGGCGCTTCCGAGATGGAATTCAAGTTCCCCGAGCCCGGGTTTCTTGAGGGTGTCAAGACCAAGGCTAAGGCCATTGTTCGTGTCTCAAAGATGGCCTTCCAATACCCAGGCACACCAAAGCCCCAGATCTCCGACATTTCTTTCCAATGTTCGCTCGGTTCCCGTATTGCTGTCATTGGTCCCAACGGTGCTGGCAAGTCTACTCTCATCAACGTTTTGACTGGTGAACTCATCCCAACCGTTGGTGATGTCTACACTCACGAAAACATCCGTATCGCCTACATTAAGCAACACGCCTTCGCTCATATTGATCACCACTTGGAGAAGACTCCTTCAGAGTATATTCAATGGCGATTCCAAACCGGCGAGGATCGTGAAACTATGGATCGTGCCAACAAGATCGTCACTGATGAGGACGAGAACGCCATGCAAAAGATCTACAAAATTGAAGGCAGTACCCGACGTGTCATTGGCATCCACTCCCGACGCAAGTTCAAGAACTCTTACGAGTATGAATGTTCGTTCGCCCTCGTTGAGAACCTTGGCCAGAAGAATGAGAAGTCCACACCCATGATGACTGCCGACAACGCCTGGATTCCTCGTACTGAAATCTTGGCGTCCCATCAAAAGATGGTTGCTGAGGTTGATCAGAAGGAGGCTCTTGCCAGTGGTCAATTCCGACCTTTGGTCCGAAAGGAGATTGAGGCTCATTGTGCCAACTTCGGTCTCGATGCTGAGCTGATCTCTCATTCGCGCATGCTTGGTCTTTCTGGTGGTCAGCGTGTCAAGGTCGTCCTTGCTGCCTGCTCATGGCAACGTCCTCATTTGATCGTTCTTGACGAGCCTACTAACTATCTCGATCGTGACTCTCTCGGTGCCCTTTCAAAAGCTCTCAAGGCTTTCGAGGGTGGTGTTATCATCATCACTCACTCTGCTGAGTTCACAAAGGACTTGACTGAGGAAGTTTGGGCAGTGGTGTACGTAATTTTTTTTGCTTCGGCCCTTCACTCCCCTTCCCCTGACACCACCCCCAATCGCCCCAACATCAACCACAATTTGAAACATGCTAACTAGAAGCTTAGGGATGGTAAGATGACGCCCAGTGGACATAACTGGGTGCAGGGACAAGGTTCTGGACCAAGATTGAAGGGTGATGATGACGAAGTAAGTTTTCCAGAGTGATTCCTTTTTTTCCTCCGTCACGTGCTAATCTCGAGAAGGAGGAAGAGAAGTTCGACGCCATGGGCAACAAGATCGTCTCAACAAAGAAGGCCAAGAAGCTCTCTTCTGCCGAATTAAGAAAGAAGAAGAAGGAGCGCATGGCTCGACGAAAGCGTGGTGAGGAGGTTTTCTCTGACGAGGATGACTGAACGAGTGGATAGAGAGGGTAGACGTCTAAAATTCGAAAAAGGATAGACTATCGTCTGTTTTCGTATTGGTCCGGGTTTGCGCATTTGGCCTGGGCTGGAGTTATCTGAGGTTTCGTTCCCTATTCAATGATCATGGGTTTTCTGCAATAGAAGATAGATTCAATAGACTCTTCGTCTTGCAATACAAAAGATTGTTCATCTACACCCTCTCTGCCTCATTGTGACATGGTTTCTTGGCCATATGAATTTCGATTTAGTTCCATCCTCATCCTGTGAGGCTGTAGGAAACTGGTGTAACTCGGATTTTGCAGTGTTAAAACGGCAGGCCATTTAGGTCACGTGTTGCCCAAGGGTTGGCGACCCGCTTTTTCTATGCGAAGCTCGGCCAACGCAGGAAGCTAAAATCTCAACTCAAAGCTCCTCTTTTTGCGAGACTCGTCCATCTGTCCGCGATCTCTTGTATCAATTTACCAACATCTCTGTATTAATCACCACATCACGTTATGTTCGCCGCACGAAGAGCATTGACGGGCGCAGCCCAAAGTCGAGCTTTCTCAGCCTCCACCAGAGACGTAAGAGCTTTTCTTCCAACACCCTCCGAGCTATCCCCATGCCTCTCAATCCGGCCCCAAAGAGCTTCAATTGATACAAGCATGATTGGATTCGATCTCAGCTGGTCGGTTGCGCTGGATGACGCACGAACTGGCTCTTGAATCGCACAATTGCTAACGTACCGCCTCTCCAGTTATCGAAAGTCACTGTCCTCGGAGCCGCAGGAGGAATTGGTCAACCATTGTCCCTTCTCCTCAAGCTTAACCCCCGCGTCACCGACTTGGCACTCTATGATATTCGCATGGCACCAGGTTCGCATTCATAGCCCATCGAAGAAGCCCACAACCACTGACTTTTCATCCCAGGTGTCGCCGCAGACATCAGCCACATCAACACCAAGAGCAAGGTCACTGGCTACGACCCTACACCCAGCGGATTGGCAGCAGCCCTCAAAGGCGCCGAAATCGTGCTCATCCCCGCCGGTGTCCCCCGCAAGCCAGGCATGACCCGTGACGACCTGTTCAACACCAACGCCTCCATCGTCCGCGACCTCGCAAAGGCAGCCGCTGAATCCGCCCCGGACGCCAACATCCTCGTTATTTCGAACCCCGTCAACAGCACTGTGCCCATCGTCGCTGAGATCTTCAAGGGCAAGGGCGTTTACAACCCTAAGCGTCTGTTCGGTGTCACAACCCTCGATGTCGTGCGTGCTTCCCGCTTCGTGAGCGAGATCAAGAAAACCGACCCCAAGGACGAGAATATCACTGTTGTTGGTGGACACTCGGGCGTTACTATCGTGCCCCTGTTCTCGCAGTCCTCGCACCCTGATCTCGTCGGTAATGCTGAGCTGCTCAACCGTGTGCAGTTCGGTGGTGATGAGGTTGTGAAGGCAAAGGATGGTGCGGGATCCGCTACCCTGTCCATGGCGATGGCAGGTGCACGGTTCGCGGAGAGCTTGTTGAGAGCTGCGCAGGGGGAGAAGGGCGTCGTTGAGCCAACTTTCGTGGATAGCCCGCTGTTCAAGGATCAAGGTGTTGAGTTCTTTGCTAGCAAGGTTGAGCTGGGCCCGAGCGGTGTTGAGAAGATTCATGAGATTGGCAAGATTACGGCTGAGGAGCAGAAGCTGGTGGATGCTTGCATTGCGGACTTGAAGAAGGTTCGTTTACTCACATCCTCCCTATTTTAAGTCTCTATTTCGATTGATCATAACTAACTTCCTCCCCAGAACATCGAGAAGGGCGTAGCATTCGTTGCCCAGAACCCAGGAAAGTAATCTTCACAAAACGTCACACTTCTCACTCGGCGCTTAGAAGGATGGATGGGGATGGATTGGATTGGATTGGATGGAAGAAAGGAAGGATCGCATCGCACATATCGGAGATCTCCTCCACCCTTAGCGTGTAGATTTCGATTTCCGCCTGTATCAAAATCAAGATTCATCCACTCTACTCTCATCTGCATACCGGCACGTGAAGCCTTTGCATCGAGCCTAACATTTCAGTCTCAAGTGAGAAATTCAACTGTACTTTTGGTCAATGGGAATTGAAGAGTCCTTTTTATATCTTAAGAGCTTGGGGATGGTTGTGGGCTTCAAGTGAGAACCTTCCGATCATGGCCCTTTCAAGAAAGAAACTGCAAATCGGACCCCCTTGAGTCGAAATGACAGCACCCCTTCAAAAGTCGGTTGAGCACCCTTCAGAACACGGAACTTGCAAGCTCTCCTCCATAGGAGGCTCTGTCATACATGTGGGGACCAAAAGAGTACAAGACCATCGAGCTGATGGGAAACCATTTGCGGTAACAGAAAACCTTTGGCCGGCCTTGACCCATCCTGGTTTCAAAGAGAGAGACGACCCTAGGACCTCGTGGGTTGATGCTATCTGCCTATATGTCGACCGATACCAAATGAAATACGGCAGAAACTTGAGGCTTGGAACTCTGTTTTCTGAGGGCTCTCGTTTTGCACTAGTCGGGTCAATGTGCGTACGCCTGAGTATACAAGGGGTTCCTCTTGCTGCCCTCTTAAGAATCGGTTATAGTTTCTCTGTTATCTATATATAGATTTTGCTAATGCTCGTTATCTGCAACAGAGCCACAGCTGAATGTTATGAGACAGCCTAGCAAGCGCCCGAGAATTCGGGCGGACGCCTATTGACACGCCACGCCAGCTGAAAGTAATCAGGCTTCCGCAATGAGTGAAACCTCGATGTAGCCCCACAAGAGCCTTTTGTCGGGTATTCCACCCTGTACGTCTTCATGATTATTCTTCGTGCCACGAGATGATTTTCGCTCATTTATTGTTTTTGACTCGCTTGTTGTTCGGTTGTGCTGCTGCTTTTTTTCCAACTCGTACCCCCAGAGCCGCCAAATCGCGAGGAACACCAAAATCGCTACGTTTAGAAAATCACACCAAATCTCAATGGAACGCCCGAAACTCTTCAAAAACGCTTTACGTAATAGAAAGAAGCAGATCTAACTTTAGCGAGATTTGTATAACAATAGAATATAAAGCAGAATTATAAGAATTTCTGTAATGCGAGCATCAAAATTGCGCCCGTCCTCGCTTAACCTCAGCGAGTTGGACGGTTAGGACGGTTTTCAATGCCGCGCGGTTTGGTGGACACCAAATGTGCCAGTCAAGGCAGAGCGAGTCAAGGAACGTAACAATGTAACTAATTAGGGTTATCGATGGGAGGTTCCCAAAGAGTTCTAGATATAGAATAGCCGGGCTATTACGTCGTGAGCTTTTAAGTGAGATCGGGAAATAAAAGGGAGAAGTGGGCCATAGTCCATTAGAGAGCGAGTCTGGCACCCAGACACTGGCCTGGATTAAATGTAATGTCTATAGAAATTCTGAAGTAATTTGCGAAATCAGTGTCAAGGTTCAACATTAATGATTTACTGTTTTGATCTCACATTTCGATGCATTAAATTGGAAGGGCTAGCCTCCGCCTGGGCCGTTCTCAGCTCGGCTCAGTTCGCTCGCTCCTGTATTCGGAAACCTTTTCCGTGAATCAGGGGCTATCAAACGCTTTAGCGAGGTTGAGGCTGAGACCGAGGCTGAACCAAGGGCAACACCAGTAATTTCCCAAGATGCGTCCTATCTTACACTTCCATCCGATCTCCGCTTTAGCGTATTCGGCGTAAGACAAACCTTGGAGCCAATCTCTATAACAACGATCGAAGTCAACGATGTCATGCGGCCTCGCCCTCTTTACTCCCAACCAGACTTGCTCTGGTCTCTCCACTCCTTTCGCACTCGGGATTAATCCCGCAGAAGGAGCATGCATCAAGATCGACAACACCAAATATGCCTCGATCTTGATTCCAGGCCAGCAGCAATGCCGCTGCGTCGATTCCACAAAGACCTCATACATCGTTCTCTACAGTGATGGGGCTTGTCAGGACGATTTGAACAGGGCTATAACGCCAGGTCAGGCTGAGCAATGCGTGGATGTGCAGACAACCAATAATAGCGTCGCGAAGGGTATGAGATATGAGTGTCTTGCTGGGCCAGGAAGTTCGAGTTCGGGAACTTTATCTTCTTCAGCTGGTTTATCGTCGACACCTTCACCATCCTCGTCTACAACGACCAACCCCTTCGTCACGCCTCCGTCCTTGACTTCACCTGCTATATCAACCCCATCGGCAAGTAGCGGTCTCTCTGGAAGCGATAAAATCGCCATAGGGGTAGGACTTGGAATGGGTCTTCCTACTATTATCATTAGTGTTATTATCTTAATAATGAAGATCAGAAAAGGCTGGAAAGATAAGGGCGAAGTTGTAAGGGCGGAAATGTAATGGGTTGAAATGTGATTATAATACTTTAGACTAGCCGGTCCGAATCTTGCAATGACGTGCTGTTATCCATTCTTATGTACCATTATTAACTTCCCCAATCTTTTCTCTATTACAAGAATCTCATTCTGTATCTTAAAATCATATTTTCCCTCTCCCTCTCTACTGAACAGCTTTGACTTCACCTTACTCCCCTGCTATCAAACCTATCTGCTGCTACTGGTTTGCTACCTAAGCCCAATTTCCATGCTTAGATAGGCTTTTCTATGTTTAAAGAAGTGCTACCAGGAGCAGAAGTATGATGAGATTCTTTGGGCTGTTTGAAAGAGTTAACGACTCCTGAGATATTGGAAACGTTTGCAATAATGATTTATGTAAACATTCCTCAAAATAGCTGGACTAAACGCCTACTTGTTCCAGAGTTCCCTTCCAAAGATACAGAGAGCTATCAAAATCTCCAACAATAATGAGCCTCCTCTTGTCTCATAGAAAGATCCACCCTTCCTTTATCAATTCATCCGGCACTTCATCCGGCACTTCAGGGCCTGTCGTAGTCTGTCGTAATCTCATTCTCACGACCTAGTAGGTGTGTCACGTGCTACGCACAGGCGTACATATAACTTCTTCACCGCCCTTAGGGCACCATCATTCATTACAATATTTACCCAAACACACTACATTTCCACTTCCACAGCTTGTCCAGGCCGTGACAAGGTGGTAGGTCGGCGTTCAGTGAGGTGTTAGAAACCGACGTAACGAAAATGGCACAGAGTTGCGAGCCTCCAGCAGCACCTCTCCTGCCTCCCACGTCTATAACCTGAGCCAACATTGATTTTTCGTTGCCATCTGGAAAGAACCCTCTTGACGCTTCTTGAGGTGTATCTTCATCTGCCCATATAGAACCCATGTAATGTGCTTTTTGTAACACCTAAATAACTTGCGCTCAAGCCTCGATAAAGTTCTCTGACCCCCTCTTTCCGAATAACCTATATCATACAATCGAGGCCATTTTTATAACTCCGGCCAGCCATGCGGCCTGCTTTCTCGGCGAGGGATTTATTAAGCTACAGTCTGGTCTTCACGAGCCATATCGGATTCTTTGCTGTGCTCGTGGCTACACCTGCAGTGGTAGCAGCAAGTAAATGCACCAACACTGTCTCACGGCCCCCGAATATTTCCTGCGATATCATACGCTTGCTGCTGCCATATGTATAGAACTTTATGGAGAAGAGGATTTGGAATGTTTTGCGGAAGTGGAGGACAGAGGATCGGAGAAGAGGCAGCAACCCAGAGGTTGGTGAGTTCCGAAGGGAGTGAGAGGCGGCAAGCTGGGGTCTAAAAGTCGGACTGTAGTCTAGTTCGGACGACATCTCCAGGTGATGTGAGTAGACCAGCAGTCATTCCACCGGGCCTGGATGAGATGACTATAATATGGAAGGGCCAAGCAAACAGACTCAAACCATGCCCGCCAGCGACAAAATTAACCCATGTATTTCTGAAGAGCGCCCGCTGTTCTCTGCTGGTTACAACAGCGCCTGGTAGGTGACGAAGCACTGATTGGTGCAAAGATTGTAAGCGAATTGATTTTCTGTATGGAGTTGGCTTGGGACGTGGGTTGTAAGGGCTCGTTTCGCACGGGCTCGCGAAGTTGAAAGCTGAATATTAGTAATATTGAGCTCTAGCGTTTAACGCCCGATATTAAACGCTAGTATCTGTATAATTTGGACCCGTTTTGCATGCTGTAGTTACTCAGTATTTGTAATAATTACGGAGCTTATAAACTAATCTCTGCTAACCTATTGAGTCTCTTTGTCAGCCTTCTTATCTCTCTCTCTTTTAATTAAAACTCTTGATTTAAATACTTCCTTTTTTTATAATAATTATTAGATTTAATTCTACTATATTAACTATAGTATATATATAGAAAACTATAATTGCGAAAGCTATTAGTATTAAATAAAGTAGCTTCTCTATAATCTGGTTAGATTTATTAAAAGCTATACTAATTGAAATTATATAATATTATATTAAGGAAAGAAAGCTAGCAGATAACGTTTTTAAAAAGGTTAATTTTATATTTATAATAGTAGAATTATAGCCCGTATATATTTCTCTTAATATTAGTTCTATTATTAATATTATTACTGGTTTATAAATTAAAGCAAAAATTAAATAAATAAATCTTTTATTAGCTCTAAATTTTACTAATAAATTATATATCTAATTTAAAAAGAAATACGAGCTATAGTTCATATTTAAGGCTTTAACTAGTTTCGAATAAAAAACGAGTTATAATTAATATAGGCTAAAAGAAATATTAGAATAATTTCTTATTAGAGTTAAAAAATAAAACAGATTATATCTAATTTCGAAATTATATATATTATTAGATATCTAATATTAAAGAGCTTTTGGGATCTTAATTAGCTATTAATAATTATATTTATATTATTAAATTTGCGAGAATTACGGCTTTTATTATTATAAAATCGAATTCGAATAAAAAATTATTTCTTTCTTTTAAAAATAATAAAAGTAAACTAATTATTAAAGATTTTTTTAATAAAAATAGAATTATTTAAAGAAGCTATTTCTTAGAAAATATAAGCTTTTTAAAGAATAAAAAATATAATAAAGTAAATAATTTATTTAATAAGTTTTATAATATATTAAAATTATTATTATTATTAATATTTATGTTAAATTAATTTTAATAAGCTAGTATATTTAAGTATTTCTATTTATAAGAACTAGAAAAGAAAATATTTAATAAAAAAGTAAATTTTTTTATAAATATAATTGTAATGTGTACAGGGTCGCACGTGACTTAAGGTCATGTGACGAACCTCGGATATCGCGGGTATTAATTAGGGAGATCGGCGGCCCTTCGACTTCACAACTAACCACTATTTATATCATAAGTATTAGGCTTATAAATTACTAATTATATATATGCTATCGGGGTCTCCTATTTAGAGGAGGCTTCCCTGGACCTTATAGGAGGGATAGAGATTAGTTCTATACTAAATTTAATACTATAGTTTCACAACTCACTAATTTATTCTATTATCTTATTACCTACTAATAAATACCTTATTATAATAGAAAAAATATTTATTTAAAAAAGAATTTAATTTAAGGTATTCTAATTATTAATATATAATAGATATTATTTATAAAATATATTAAAAGTTAATTAATATATTTTTTAATTAAAATATAAATTTTTTTTTTAGGCTTTATTAAAAAAATTTTCTCTAATATATAAAAGCTATATAATTATTTATATTAGATATATTTTTAATACTTAAGCTAGCTTTATAAAATATTTCTTTATTAAAAATATAATAAAAAATATATAAGAAATTATTTATTTATATTATTAAAAAAAAATATTAAAAAAAATAAAAAAAATAAAAATAAAAATAAAAATAAAAATAAAAATAAAAATAAAAATAAAAATAAAAATAAAAATAAAAATAAAAATAAAAATAAAAATAAAAATAAAAATAAAAATAAAAATAAAAATAAAAATAAAAATAAAAATAAAAATAAAAATAAAAATAAAAATAAAAATAAAAATAAAAATAAAAATAAAAAACTAATTAGAATAAAATATATTTTATATTTTCTAGTTTTATAAAAGCTTTTAATATTAGAAATAGTAATTATTAGTTTATTAGTAATATATAATATTATTATATAAATATAAAAATACTATTATATTAAAGTTAGTAAAGTTATTATTGAGAAATAAGAATTATAATATTATAATATTAATATATAATTTCTAAATTTATTAAGCTTAATAAAAACTAGCTACTAGTTAAATTACTTATATAATATAAGGTTATATAATTATTATTTATTATCTATATTTTATTATTTCTAGTTATTTCTATATTATATAACTCTATTATATAATTATTAATAACTATAGGTATACTAATACTAGAATTTTTCTAAAAATACAAAAAATAGTACTTCTTTTTAATTATATATAAATTCTCTAATTTAATCTAATATTAGAATTTCTAAATACTTTATATATCTATATTACTTTTAAGGTTTTAGTTATATATTAAAAGCTATAGCCTTTTATATATAACTTCTTCTTTTATAATATTCTTTTATCTTATATACTTATATTTCCTAATCCGGTCTAATACTAGATATTTAGATACTTAGATATCTAGATATCTAAATACTTAATTTTCTAATCCGGCTTAATACTAGATATTTAGATACTAGATATTAGATACTAAGAAAATCTCTATATATATTTTCTTATTTTATATATCTATTTTCTATTCTATTTATATTTAATCTATTTCTTTATATTTAATTATATTATATTTATATTAATAAAATATTTAAGAATATTTAATAGTTTTAATTTTATTATAAAATTAATAGAATTTAATTCTCTCTTAATTTATTTAATTTCTATAATCTCTTATTATTTATATATTAAGTAAAGATATATTATATTAATTATTAGGCATTTTTCTCGAATAGTATTTAATTTAATAAGGCATTTATATAATAACTTCAAATCTATATAAATAATTAGTAATAGTTCTATTTCTAGTATTTTATTAATTATAGATTTAACTAAAGTATTTATATTAAAATTATAAGCTATATTATAGAATTCTAAAACCAAAATACTTCTAGTAACTCTCTTATATTTAGTAAAGAACTAATAAATAATATTAATATATCTAATTTAGAAAAAGAAATCTCTATTATTTATAAATAAAGTATTATAAAAATAATTAAATATAAGAATATTTTTACTAGCTTTATAAATCTCAGTTCTTTAGTAGTATTTTTAATTTACTATTAAATATACTTATTAAATATCTTTATATCTATTTTTAAGAATTTAATAGCTTAAATAATAATTAATAAATTATATAAAGCTTCTAATTAATAAACTAATATAATATATATTTCTCTAGTATATTAGGTAATATATTAGTTCTTAATAAAGAGATTTTAATAAATAGTACTTTTATTACTTATAGTAATAGTATTTTTTATAGAAATAATTTAAAGGTTTTTATATTAATATTTCTATATAAAAGTAATTCTAGTAATATTTATATAAATAATATCTTTATTAAACTTGAGATTATAATTAAAAGTAAGGAATTTATATTTTTTAGCTAAAAACTTAGTTTTATAAAGCTTTAAAATTATTAGTTCTAATAAATAAAGTATTATTAATTTAAAAACTAATAATTCCAAAAAATTACTTATTATAAAAGAAATAAGAATTATAAATTAACTATTTTATAGAAAGCTTATTAATATAATAGAAATAATAAGTTCTAAACTATTAGTTTCTAGTATATTATATAGTAGTTTTATAATTTTTAAAATAGAATTATTTTTTAAATTTAGTTTTCTAGTAAATTTATAAAGCGGATTAATATAGAAATTATAATTAAATAAGGTTATTAATTAGATATAAGCTTATAAGATATTATATAAATATAATTTTATAATATTTATTATTATAATAATAATACTAAAAATAATTCTCTAGCTAATATATTAAATAATAAATAATTATATTAATACTATATATTTCTTATTATTATTATAGGCTTAAATAACTAGTTTTGACTTTTTAAGCTTTTTTTAATATTTTAATTTTTAATTTTATTAATAAACCGGAAATTAAAAATATATATTTTCTTTAATATCTGAAATCTAGAAATAATCTTAAATATATTCTTTTTTAGAAGGCTAGTAACTTTAACTTAATAGGAATTCTTATATAGTTTATTATTCTATAGAAATATTATAATATCCGAAATCTTATAAAAATATCCTTTATTATATTTTAATAGAAATTATATTTATATTATTTTTAGTTTTATTATTAGATTTGAAAATAAATTTAAATTCAGGGCTATTAATAATAACTTTAATATTTTTTATATAAAAGGGCTTTATAGAGATTAAATAAAAGATAATATTATTATATAATAAAGCTAGTATATAGTTTTCTCTATTAATAGCTACTAGCTTATATAGTCTATTCTAATTACTAAATTAACTAGTATTTTCTTTATATTAAATAAGAATATTTAAATTTAGAAATAGTTTATAGATATTAGTAATACTAGAACTATTTTAGATATTTAAAGTATTTATAATTTAATATCTAGTTTAAAGCTTTTAAATTTCTATTATTACTTTTTTAAATATTATTAATTATTATAATATAATAAATAATAAAATATTATATTTAGTTATTTAAAATAAAATACTATAAATTAAAAAAATTAGAATAATACTATTAGATTTTATAAAGTTACTAATAGTTTTAAAAGCTATTTAAAATATAATATTTTTATTAATTCTATTAATTTTAGCTATAATAATAAAATAAA